TGATACAACGATAAATAGAATAAGGTCAAGCTCCCGAAGATAACCCAGATAGAAAAGCGCCCCCGCATAGTTCCGTCCTCCATTCTAATTCCGACACGTAACCATGAACCTTGCAATTGCCAGTCATCGGGTCGCACCATACTATTGTCCTAGACCTACTTCCCTAAGTAGAACAGCCTGCAGCCGTAAGCCCCGCTTCCCATTCTATTCCGGGTGAGACACCCAATAGTAAACGTGCCGTCACAATAGTATGGTACTAGTGTGGTAACACCGCGTGCCCCCACACCACCCGATACCTTTCTATGCTTGTCCTTCCGTTACCCGACCGTCTTCGCATCACAACCCGTCACTCGTATTCCTCACTGTCCTTCGCCTCTAGGACAGTGCTCCGTAGTTCCTGTAACATTTATATAGAGAGTTCGAGTGTTTTGATGAAGATCATGGTACAACACTTACGCACCAGGCGTTTCGGGGTGTAACCCCATCCTCAGAGTGTGTAAAGAGAATTAAATTTCGCGCGTATAACGAGACAAATATAGAAAAGCCCATAGCCAACCGCTATAAAATAACCGTAATACATAAAAACCTTATTCCCATGACCCAAAATAGAAAGAAACCGTAACGCAACATGAGATACCGAAAAATAGGAATACCCAATCAATTTTGATCCTCCAAAGTTGTAATCCTTGCCCTAAATGCCTCATTCTGGGGGGCCAATTTCCGCTTCCTTTCACCCTCCCTTCCGTGGTCCTTTCCTCCGGAAGGATTTCGTTTTCTCTTCAGGTCGGTTAACCTGACCTTACTCGTCGCCACGCAATCTTTCGCAAAATGGTTATCCCTACCACAGCGGAAACATTTTCCTTCTTTTTGCCACTTCTCCTTCTCGTCCTTGGTGAGACCTAAGTCATCCGAGGGCTTGGAGTTGTGCGCTGGCGCGGAGAAAGTTTTCCGAGGTGCGGGGTTGCGCGATTTTCGCCGTTCCGATTTCTCCTCCCGAGGTTTCACGACATCCTTGCCACGTAAAATTTCTTTTCGTGCTTTTACCTCGTGATCCTCGCGTCCGACCTTCCTAACCCATGCTAGCCATTCCGCGAAGTCTTCTGGTTCCTCGATTGCATTCGAGAGGCGTTGTTCCAGCGAGGAGTTTATTCCTGTTAGGATCATGGATTTCATTACGATGGGTCCGACCTTCGCGTCCCATTCCAGATTCTGCATCTCGTTGATGTAGTCATCGATCATGCCAGTTTGACGGAGCTTATCCATCTTCTGCTTGGCTTGTTCTTGACTGGTCCGATTGCCATATTGAATCCGTAGTTCGTTTTTAAAATTCTCCCATGTCCCGATGCTGGGGTCCACCGATAGTCGTTCCACGAAGTTTCGCCAGAATTTTGCCGCACTTCCGGTAAGTTCCAAGGATGCCCACAGGATCTTGGTCTGGTCGTCCCACCGGACTTTCCTCTGAAGTTCAATTAAGACTTCCATTTGGTCTATCCAGTGTCGCACATCTTCATCGGCTTTTCCGGAGAAGGAGATCTTTGCCTGTTTTGGCGTGTCTCCTAGGGTGGCGTGAGGGGGGTGCACGAGGTCTACCTCTTGCTGCCTGTTACGGCGCCTTCGCTCTTCCCGTCTTCTCTGCCTTCGTTCACGTGCTCGACGATCGTCCTCTGAATCGGAGGAGCTGGATGAGTCGGAGGGGGGTGGGTCTCGAGGTCTTGCGCGGTTTCCGCCGTTGCCATTATTGCCGTTGCCTCCCCTGCCTCCCTGCTCACTTTGCTGGCTTCCCCTTGTCTCGGAGCGAGGGGGCACGGGGGGTTGGCTCCCAGATCCTTCCGGTCTCTCTCCGGAGTTACTAGGGGGGTTCTGTGGAGGTTGGGGGGGTATTACGCCTCCGCCTCCTGAGCCTTCGGGGGCTGCGGCCGTTCTATTGGCTGCTACCCGCATTTGCTCGATTATCTCCTCCAGGTTTTTCTTCGTACCTGCGAACTGGTATTCCATCGCGGCCTGTCTGTCCCGCTCCATTCTTTCCAGGGCAGCCGTGACTTCCGCGGGTAGCTGGACTGGGCCATCTTTTGGGAGTTGCTGGACAAAGTTGGTCAGCGCGTTTATGTGCTGGTCTTGCCGCTCCTGCCTCTCCTGATGTGCCCTAGTTGCTTTGACGATCTGCCCAAGGACTTGACCAAGATTGCTGGTAGCGGCGGTGGATTCCGCTCGTAGCTGAGCCATGACCTGGTTGAGCTGATTGTCTCGCTCGGCTCTGTCCCCAGCGAATTTGGCGTGGAGGTCCTCGACAATCTTGTTGGTGTACTCCTGCTGCTGACGGGTGAGTTCCCTGAGTATGGGAATGTCTCGCACGTGCATGCTGAGTTCCTCGATCCCGCGGCTGAGTTGCTGCACTACTGGAGCCCCTTGTCGCTGGACTTCTTGCCCGATGAGGTCGCCAAAAGGATTCTCCACTCGTCGCTCCTCTATGTCCATATTGGTATCCTCGTCGTCGTCCATTACCCGAGGTACCGAGGGCCTCTGAGTAGAGGATCTCTCTCTGATGGGGGTGACGTAGGGGGAGAACTCCCTGTGGTCTACCTGCCGCCTCCTCGCCTGCCCATACGATTCTTCCTGCCTCGTCGATGCGAAGAGGGAGCCTATCGGCACATCTCTCTCTTTCCTGTGGCGCCTCTTCGCCTGGGTTTCCAATATACCTCGATCTCTCAAGGCGATTGAACTCTCCATGTTGTAGTCTTCCTCCGACCGTTGCTGATGAGCCCTTGACATTGCTAAGCTGCTCGAGCTTGAGCTGTGGTTGCCTTCTGCACCAGGGTTGAGCAATGAACCAGGGGACTGGGTGTGCGAGTCCGAAAGACCATTGCGAGAGAGTGATCTTGATTGGGAAGAGTTCTGGGTAGTTGAGGATTTCGGGGTCGTGTTCCTCGAAGGTAGCTGTGGTTCCTGCTTCTGCGAAGAAACCTGTGTAGTGAAGGTATCCGCAGTATAGGTGTTCGGCGCTTCCTCTTCGTACGATGAAGGATGTAGCGCAAAGGTAGTTGTTGATGGCTGCTGTTGCCACTCGGGGGTGCATATAGTACCTTGGTCTTTCTAATAGACTAAGCGCTTATTCCTCTACTGAGAGCACGGTGACTATCCACCACTAAGCAAAATACTCAGAGTATTGGTTTAAGCGAGTAGTTGTCTTATTGAGACTTTGGTAGTTTATGCGATAAATAAAGAGTAAAAGTTAGGGATAAGGTACAATATAGTGTTTGGGGAAATAGCCAGTGCTAAGCAATAATTCTGTAGCGTTTATACTGATGATATTGTAAACCGGATTCCCTTGACTTGATGGTTTGATGATGCCCTCAAGTCTTCGGAGAATCCTGCCCTATTTATACATGTTGGAACCTATGCCAAGGCCCGCTTTCTAATACTAACTGATACAACGATAATAGAATAAGATGATGCTCCCGAAGATAACCCAGATAGAAAAGCGCCCCCGCATAGTTCCGTCCCCCATTCTAATTCCGACACGTAACCATGAACCTTGCAGTTGCCAGTCATCGGGCTGTACCATACTATTATCCTAGACCTACTTCCCTAAGTAGAACAGCCTACAGCCGTAAGCCCCGCTTCCTATTCTATTTCGGGTGAGACACCCAATAATAAGCGTGCCGTCATAATAGTATAATACTAGTGTGGTGACACCGCGTGCCCCCACACTACCCGATACCTTTCTATGCTTGTCCTTTCGTTACCCGACCGTCCTCGCATCACAGCCCGTCACTCGTATTCCAGCGCTGTCCTAAGTCTCTGGGACAGCGCTCCGTAGTTCCTGTAACAGGTACCGTTCTGTCCGATTCCACCCCCGAAAAGCTCTTGAAGTTAACTATTACTGCTGAGTTTCCTTCGCAGTTCCTCTTTCCGGTCCGAGGTCCTGCAGCATGGAGCACTAGGAGCGTAGTCAGACTCGTACCGCATCTTTTTTTCGTACACTCAAGAAGAATAAAAGCAGTAAAGGGTCAAAAGCGAAGGCTAAAAGCACCGTAGAGTAGCCTTTGGAGCGCAATCAGTTATGGATTATTATATTCGATAGGATAACCACCCCGCTTGACTCCGATAAAGTCCCGCTATTTCTGAAGAGATTTTGATAATTATATCGAGCGCACACTGTGTAATTGCCCTGGGGTACTATGGGTAGTAGTCATGTGGTATTATCGTTAAATAGGAAATGGGAACACCATGTCGGCACCTCGATCGCGAGAGATAGGTGTCTTTATAGACGTGTCCATTGAACTGAGTGGAAGAGGAGGACGATTTCTCTTGCCTTTCAGTTATGATGATTGAGAAACGTTTTCTCGCTAGATTTCTCGAGGTCGTCTTTGATTAGAAGTCTAAGATAGTCCCCAAATCTCTACCTTATCGTTATCGATATATCCTTCGCTCTGCTCGTAACCATCTAAAAACCTTTCGAAACCTCGGGACACAAGAAATGTCGTTCTTTTCTGCGTAGGAATAACAAACCTCCGACCATGATTGTTCTGTCTCTCTTCCTGGTGGTGTCTTTGAACGCTTCTCGAAGGGTAATCGTATTTCCGGACCTCTGAAGCTCCCTTGCTCTATATGCCACAATTACTGCTAGAAGAGGCAGCGTAAATGTCCCCCTAGGACCCTACCTATTGCCTTGTGAGTCATCCGATCGGCCATTTCACCGTTTTTACTTACCAATAGGTATCCAGACGGTACTACATTCAGAAAGAACTACTACTTTTATAAGGAAGACATGGCGAAGGGCCGGTTCGACCTTTGTTGTGCAGCGCCAAGTAACGCAAGCTACGTATCTTGGAATGAGCATGAAAAGAAAAAGAGGAGAATTTATTTGGTACAAAAGACACGAAGAGGGGTAGAAAGCCTATGCCGCGGGGATATCCTCCACAAATGTACAAATTTCCAACACCCAGACACCTCTGATGATTCCTGTCCCATCATCGCCCCCTTCTAGGATTCCTGGCGGCTTATTTACCTGGCTGGGAGTGTGGAATTTGCATGGACTCTATCCGGGCCCGATGCTGCTCACACTCGGTCTCATGGTTCTCCAAATAAATCAGCTTGAAGAACCTCCTTCCGCAGATGCAATGAAGAGCCCTTCTATCCTGATGAGACACGAGATGATTGGTGAGATGACTCTCCATGTGGTAAGATTTTGCACACATAGAGCACTGATATTGTTTTCTCCGATGCACCTGGGCATGACCGGTGAGCCCCTGTCTGGTGATAAAGACCTTGTCACAGGTAGTGCACTTCCACTCTGTTGGAGTGGGTGTTGGGATTGGTTTGAGGGTTTTAATCGAGTGCGATCTAAGATGATTGGCTAGCGCCGCCTTACGGGTGAAGGAGTGAGAACAATGCGAGCAGTGGTGGAGGTTTGGTGTCGACGGGGGAAAAGGATCCCCGCGAGGGTCTATTCGGATGGTGTCGCCACCACTTCCACGTGCTAGCACTATCGCCGCATCATCGTGTCTTGGAGTGTGATCCATGGAACACTCTTCTTCGGTGGTGTCGTGAGCTTCCCCGGCGTCAGGTTCCGTATCCTGTACTGCCGTGGGACTAGAACCACTCAGATCATGACCCACCCTAGAAACAAGGGCATTAACCGCTCCTTCATGATTCATTTGCTCATCCGACTCCACAACCGGTTCTCCGAGATCGAATTCCGAAGAAGTTTCCGAGTGGAGCGCGTCGTTATCAGCAAGAATTTCTGTGTCAGGAGTGTATTCCTGGACAGACAAAGATGGAACTGTACGAGATCGATTAGCGCCCTTCCAGACCACTTCCGAGTGCCTTCCCAGCCGGCTGGAGGGTACAGCGTGGTTTGCTATGTGCTTCGTTAATTTCGGCGCATTTGAAAATCTCTGGCCGCAGCTGGTACAGGGGAACCATCTGGTTTTGCCCATGGTATTTGTTTGAGTTTCTCTCAAAACACTAGGCCCATGCATCGCCGTAAGAGGATTACCATTGTGGTGATGGGCTTGGGTATCTGGAGTTCATATCAGCTTCCCGCATATGAAGAGTAAGAGATCATGTCCCAGACATACCTCCACTGGAGGGCGTATCCCGCAAGTTTGGATGTATTGTGTTTTCGAAGGAGGGGTTGAGGCGAGCTCCGAAAAACTCAGCAGACTCGAGCATTGATTGAAAGATAATGGTGAGTCTCATGTTTTGAATGACGGGAGAATGTGCGGTACTCGGAGTTAGTACATTAGGCCGGAGGTGTGGATCGCGGCTGCCAGAGGTGTTTAGGTTAGTACCCGTTCACCCGTGCAAAAACGAATTTTGAAGAACGATTGGACGCTTACACGTTGCCCTGACGAAGAACTACTTGTATCCGAGTGGCCAACCGATGTGACACGAGAGGTGGGGCATAGAGGTCGGAGTCTTGCCCCGTTATGTCTGTATAGTCCGGTGCCTGCGCAGGCTGACCAACTAAAACATCGAGAGGAGCGTAGCCCTTTTGATCCAGGCTGGATCTGCAAATCCCTGAGCGATATTCCTCTCTATTGGGCGGTGCAATGGACGGCGACACTGAGACAACCTCACTCTCTACCATGGGGTTGGAGGGGGCTATGGAGGGGGATTGAGTAGGTACGTCGAGGCCCGCACGGTCGAAGATGAAATCAAAGTTGCCTAGAAATGTAGACTCCATGGCTTCTTGGGGGTGAAACATACCGGCGGAGGCCGCGGGATTGTGGAATGAACCGTGTTTTTTGGAGGGAGAGCTATGGGTTCTGTGTGAAGACCTTTCGGTGGTGGATCAGGAATCGGCCAAAGGTTTTGCACTTTGGTGGCTGTGCGGTTTTCAATGTTGGGTTTAGCCATGAGAATGCTAACCGGCTTAGTCTAAAATTTAGCCAGCACTATGAGTAATTTCGAAGACTACGCGAGGCAACTCATAATCTGACTGGAGTGATCGAGAAAAGGAATTCAGCAGTGCCTTGAAGATATGTTACGTTTGTAGGTTTCCATCTCCTGCCTCGTAATTTGGGAGGTTATTTCTGGTGGGATGTCGTTTTCTTGTTTTTTTATTGACTATAACTAACTTATACACTTGTAAAGCAGAGTTGGAGTTTGCTATATGAAATCTCATATGGCGAGGCTTTCGAGTATTTAAGCTAGGTGTACGGAAAAAAACGCTGTTTTATACTCTCACAGTTCCGGCAATGACAAATTCACCAGGAACCTCGTCTTCCGCGTAGGACAGAGATATCGAAGAAGGAATGTTGGTTAGTTCTGCAGTTATATACATCCCTTCTCTATTTCTTTATAATTTCTCGCTGCTCTGGGGCTGTTAGGGGTTAATCTATGGGTTTCTACAGTCCTTATGTCTTTTCTTCCTGGTTCTGGTGGCTTACTTGATATCTGGTAAGATGGAGCAGATGCTATTCTTAGCTATCCCCAGATATCTTCCGTTACCACCCACAATACCTAACTACGACCAGGTATCTTTACCTCTCACCAGGCACATATTTATGTACGGTTGCCTTTTAACTGCAATTAGAACTAGCAGCTTCGCCGCTGCGCTACCGCTATCGCTAGCCTTGCGGCCGTCTTTTTTTCACTGCCCGTTCCGGAATCACTTTATATACTACTTTTGCTCTTTCTAAGTTAAAGTCTTTCCGCGGGACGTCGAATCTTGAAGTCATATGTCACGTGGGATGGTGTCTAGCTCTAATACCACACCAATAAAAATCTTTTGATCAACATCCAGAATGTACATGAGATATTTGCAAGACAATAATGAACCCCGCCACTACCGGGGAAAAGTCGGATCACTTGAATTGTAGGCGGAGGGGTCGTTGGGCATGATAGGGAATAATTCTCCCAATTTCCAGAACACCCCAGGCATAACTCGATCAAGTCTTGACAGCACAGGTCTTTGGAAGAAGAAAACTCTCAGCCGGTGTTCTTGGTTCGGAGGAGTGTACTGGAAAGTGCTAAGCAGCGGCTTGATTGGCGAGTTATTATCAAATACTGAACTGTTTGCATCATCGGGGGTTGTGCACGATTCTGTCGGCGAATATCTCCGGCTAGGGGTGAGTAGGCGCTTTGTAATTGTGCCGGGGAGCTCACCGGGGGAGACGGATGTTTTGAAGCTGGATTTTCTTAGAGGCATAAGAAGTGTATAGAGGGTTCAAAAGAAGCTACATTCCTCCTACAACCAAGCTGAATCAAAAATTCTGTGGGCAAGGAAATGAGGAGCCTAGTATATCAAGTCGGAAGGTGGGGGGAGGGGTTCGGCCGCGGTCCACCTACCGTAGTTTCTTACTTTCTGCCTCATTTATACGACTCATTCAATAGCTATCGTGTATGTTATTTGTGTATAGAGGATTTATATTATTGAAATAAAGGTTACACTTTGTATCTGTCGTTTGCCCTGTTCGAGGTGCCGAGGTTGCTCTCTCGGTGACGCTTCCAGGTTTTATAATAGTACTGTGCTCCCTCGACTAGTACAACGCTAGAAGTTCACACCTATAACTATTGAACTAACTACTCCAATGTGTTGAAACTAGTATTACTATAGTATATGTATTGATCGGTATGGCACGTGGGCTAGGGTTCTTGGCATTTGTTTCAGTTTGGAATGGTAAGGATCGACTGATGGAGTCGGAAAGATAATATTCCGGTGTCTGGTTGGAGCGGGGCGGGGGGTGAACCGCGGGTCCCCTACAGGGTCACTGATGGTTTGCTAGGGAATCTTTATGACGCGGGAGTTACATCTACATATTGTTATGTACTTTGTGGAGGCTATGCTGAACTTACGAAGCTAGATGTAAACCTTTACCCCCGGATGAAGCAGGAAAGCGATATGTTCATGTCAGCCTGGGGAATTTAGGGTCAAATTCATTATGCCAGCTGATGACCATAAACAGTGAGGTTTTTTTTTTTCAGTATGAAAGAAGATGTAGCGGTAGAATGTAACTGGAATGTACGGATATCACATTCAGAGACGATGAACGCGTACGTGCAGACCACTGGATGGTAGGGTCCAGATCATGAGAACTATGCGAGATGCGAGAGATGGTTTCAAGACATGATGGTCACTGAATTGAAATATCAAAAGTGATTTGACACATTTCGGTAGGCTAAGATGGATGGAAGTAGAGCTGTACGCAATAAAACGTTTGTTAATTACGGTATACTAGATACTTAGTGCTGCGGATGTCAAGAAAAGTTGGATTTATATCACACTGAGAAATGTTGATTTGAGCATTGGTGCTTCGAATGACATTTTAAGAGACAGAAGACAGAGACTGGGCAATAGGCACCTCCGGTAACTTATAGGAGTCCATATAGATCTAGAAATGAGCTTACTCATATTCAGAAGTGAGCTTTAATCCAATTGCAAGTAACGCATTTTATTTCATTTCAACTCATCTAACCTATTCGAACTCGACTCAACATGACTTCCCCGGATTTCTTCTCTTCCTAACCACTGCTACCGTTACCACCGCGTGCAGAGTCATCTGCAGATATTCTAGTAGTTCTCTTCCGGTATTGATAATCTCCTTAGGGGACCACCCACTCACCTTGAAGACCCACCGTGAGCCTCCAATTCCCTGATCTCTCGCTCGATAAGTGCCATATTCATCTCCGTATAACGTATCTGGGCCCTCACCCTGCCCATACATTCGAGGATCTGCTGCCAGACCCTACGGTCATTCCTGATTTCGCCGGGGAACATGTTTTGGGCGCAATCTCGTAAGTCGTTTTCAGAGAGGTGGATGGCGGAGACAAGGGCGCTATCGATGGCATTGTAAGCAGTATTATGTAGAGTGAGAATGTCACGGAGATAAGCGAGGTCAGTGCGAAGAGCGATGAGAATAGCGGAGGTAGACATGCTTGTGTACGTTGAGGGGTGTGGGTGTTTTAGTTGCTGGTTGTGTTCTTTTGTGTTTAGCTTTTTGATCCGGATGCGGGTGGAGGTGCTTTCCTGTTGTATGTTTGTGTGTGCGAGTCTGAGTGTGTGGTCTTCGCTTGGAAGGGCAACGGCACCATATATAGGCATTGAAAGAGATTCATGTGTGCCTGTATATGTATTTTGTCTTTCGAGTTCGGTCGAATTTCAGGTTCCAAGTGGTGAGGTGTTTCAAATCTTCCTAAAAATAATCATGAAAGTACGTCAAGGGAACCTATCGTTTTATTCTCATATATGTTCCGAGCTACGTATCACATCGGCTACTAACGGAGTGGAAGAGAATTGCATAGGTGCGTCGTCCAGGATGTGGGGGCTTTACTCCCAGATTCTTCCCGTGCTGTATTGCCGCCTTCCTATAAAACCCAAACCCAACTCTTTTCTCTCATCCATCCCCACTCTCTTCCTCTCATCAACACCATCTCTCTTCTAGTCATCAGCCCATTCAGCATCTTCTCATACTTCACGATCTCTCATTTCTCATCCACAAAAATCTTCGTCGACCAGGACCGTCCCGAAACTCATCCCAAAAGCATCAATTCGTCCAAATAAAACGCCTTATACATACTAAGTCCTCAAACGTTCAGTCAAGTCGTTCTGATTGTGCTATAGACGACAGAGAGTATTACTTCTCATTGTGATCGCCCTCAGTACCATCGTTCTATCTTGTACCCCGCGAACTTGTGGTAAGACCTCCTTTCTTTCCGATCCTCTGAAGACATCCATCTCTCTTGCCCAATATTTCCCCCTGGAGGCATTGTTGTCATCGAGAGAGTGTGCCATCTTGCTAAAACGTCTCTAGCTGTGGTCTCTGAGAGTCTTTGACAATCTCGTCACACCATCTGTTTTCTGACTTTCTCCTTACCCCTATCACATCCCTCCAATACTCATTTTCTACTTTCACCTATTTTAGTCTTCTTATCTCCGTACCCCCCTACTTCGTAATTTCGACTGTTTTATCCATCTCTTAACGTAGGGAAATCTAATGCCTCTTGTTTATAAAGCCTGTGTACGTTCACCGGAAAGCGATGACGAAGGGGTCGCCCTCGTTTTCACCGAGAATAGACATGTTCACCCTTGGAAGTATCTTCTTTCTCTCTAGACTTGTCAATAAACTAACATTACTCTACAGACTTCGCCGCTGCTCGTGCTGAGGCCAGCAACATCGAAACAGAACAGTCTGAAGGGGATGGTGCTCCAGGCCATGTGATCCAAACTACTCAGGGCCGTGGGTCCCGGGGCGAAGACATCAGTAGTGAAAGCAGTCGCTCTGACTCCAGCAGCGAGGACGAAGGAGAACAGGATGAAACAGATCAGGTATACGTCGGTTCGACCTCTGAGACCTTGATGGGACGCATCCTTCGTTGGGAGACCGACACCCAGGAATTGCAGGGTGCGGAACGGCTGATCACCCCCTTCCCGGAGGAGGGCGAGCAACTAAGGATGCCGCCAATCAACAGAGGGCTCAGTGATGCGCACATAGCAATCTATGGTTCACGTCCTCCAACCCCACACCCATTCTTTGAGGATCAATCCTACCCCACACACTCTTCCTCAAGCACAGCTCCTCGTACTGCTGAACTACAGGCAACCCCTCCTGCTGCTCAACTACAGGCAGCCCCTGGTAACGCGCCCCCGAGTCTTCCTAGCCAACACTCCACATGCCCCCATGGTGCCCACCGTACAGGTTCGCCCACTCCGTCCTCTGCACCCTCTGAGTCTGATCCAGATCCTGCATGCGGGGTCTGTTACAGGAGGTCCGTCGATGTGCAACTGGTTGGTTGCAATTACTCACTATGCAGTACATGCACCCGAAGAACTTACTTCGCGTCACCAAAACATTTCAACCATTGGCCATTGGGCATCGACTGCCCGTTTTGCCGTAGGGGTGTTCAATTTGTGAAGTCGGACAATGACTCTGGGAGGATCAGAAGATTACCACTCTGGGTGGTGAGGTGGAGTATCAAAGAAAGGACAAAAGTCATGAAAGCCCATAGAAGGACTGTTGAACCGGAGGAAATGAGGGGCTACGTTCGTTTCATGTGAGTTCTCAATCATCGTCGTAAATGTGCTTTTTCAATGCTCATGACTTTTAGGCAGGATGCGATTACCGTACGACGTTATCCTACGCTTCCAAACACAGAGGCTGCAAATACTGTCGTAGTTGGAGCTCCTGCTCCCCCCCCCCCCCGGTCCGGTCAAAAACGAAACTACGTCTGAAGGCGTAAACTAAAGCTCTCGATGATTGCTGTTAACACAGATGTATAACTGGGAGGAGGTTCATATGTTCTCTGTCTTTGCGGTTTTCCTCCGCTGTGCTTTCTACAGCTGAAATGCACTGAAGGTTTTTCTCCGGTATCCATTGAACATAGCCTTTTTTTCATGCCCTTAGATTCTTATTTCCTTTGGATAGTTGTTCCCTTGAATAGTTTTTTCGCTTGACTGGGTGCCTCTGTTGGATAGTTGTTCTCTTGAAATAGGCTTTTCTCTCCAAATGTTTTTCTTCATGCTGATTTCCCTTGAGTCATTTCGTTTCCCCCTGAGTACCTGTTTCTTTCCATCGTTAGACTCTCAGGTGGTTCCTCCATTTGCCGGCTTTCTTGCATGGATATAGATATTTCCCTTTGACATTTTTTTCCATTGAGTGGTCCAGGAAGAATGGATAGCACGGCTTATGAGAGAGTTATTATGTCGAAGTACTGTTTAGCTAGCTCAGATATCGATTTAACGCTTGTATTATTGATAGTGGTAGCTGATTTAAGATTCGCTGTATCATTCATAATAGAAATTAGCCGTATTATTAGCAAAGGTCACGTAGTACACTGGGGTTCTCACTTGGATTTCTTTGGTCGGCTCTACAATCCACTCTTTTCTGAGGAGCGACTGTCTATGGTCTGTGGCTCCGGATGGGGTGTATCGATAATTGCCGGTATAGTTTGGGAGGGAGTACGCCGACCTTTGCCTCTAGGTTACCACTGCTGAGAGGTTCATGAATGCTAGGCTCCTCGAGTTCCTTCTTCCCGTAGTCCAAAAGCTTCTAACTACTGACACTAGGTAACCGATCGTTTTCCTACTCCGTTCCTACCAATACCTGTTAGCACTACGTCTTCAGGCATTTGCTTGATCGTGCGGAATACCTCTTAGCGAACGGAGCTGCCTATTCCCTTTCCCTACTCACTCAAGGCTTCATCAGGAGATATGGTATCACACCACTGAGGGAATAATCTGGTGCCTTCACTCTGAATACTGCAGGACAGGGACAGAGGGTTGTGAGTTTTATCGAGAAATAAAGATATGCACATGTGGTCTTCCGTCAATAATTAACACGCATCCTTCAGGTAGTTGAACGATTCCCTGGCTTTATCTTCTCTCCACAGCTGATTGAGAGCTTAGGTGTTAAGATGGGAAGAACAGATCTCTGGAAATGCCATGGCCATGCTTTATTGTGGTATTGCCATTTTCTCCACAGATGAGACAGGGTGGTTCGGGGATGCTCGAATATCCAGAAACGAAGCTCACAAATGCGCCGATTAAACAGGGAACATCATCCTCTCACTCCCTCGAGCTTAATCCTGTATCTGAAGCGTTGAGCAGTTATTCCACTACTTCGGTGGACCGATAATACAGAGTGACAGCATCTCCAGAACCAGTAGAAGGATGAGACTCTTATTTCTTATTTCTTTTTCTTTCTGGGGATCTGCTGCTCATTCACAAATGCTATAAATATAGGCAAACATCACCACCAACCGGAAAAAAATCACAGCGATGAACATACCATCACAACCCATGCTAATTCCACAAGCAGCTAGAGCTTGGAACCCCCGAACATGCCAAGCCGGGCGGGATAAATCAAAAGCACGCAGCCTTTAGCATAAGCCATCAAAATTCGTTTGAGTCCGTGGATAGTGGGTAGATAATGCATGGGGAAAAAAACGGCCGATTATCAAGACTAGATTACAAGACTCCGAGTCGGACCAAAGTTCCCAGGATCCTGATTGACGACTGACGTTGGAATTTGAACCGCCGCTAAACATTTCAAGGTAGCGGCGGAAGTAACCGAGGCTTGGCGGACAGGGATAACTGTGAAGGTTCAGCCCGACACGCTAGATTTTTATATTCGGATATGGATTTTCGGAGGTAGTTCTGCATTTTTACAACTACTAAAACTAGAGTGGAGGAGTAATGTTAACAATCTACTGCTTTCTGTTGGGAGTAACGTTTCAGCCAGGTCTTACCATGTCTCAGGCAGTGATCATTTCTCATGTTGACAGTGCAAAGTCGAATACATATCGATTTGACAAATATCTAAAACGATCGGGAAAGACTCGGTCCTTCACAATGGTTCTGATTCCGGTACATATACCCTTCTTTACATACATGGAGGGATGGAAAACATTTGTGGTGAGTGAAGGAAAATAGAGGCCGATACCCAAGGACCTTTTACGTTTTGGATGGGGAAGCGCTGTAGTTTCTTTTCATACCTTCACCGAAACATGTTCCGCCAAAGGGGAAATATCAGGTCAGCTCATTGGCAATGAATAGTAGCCATACATTGACCTCCCCGGAGATAGCTGCAAAATCGGAATGGGTGAGCATATCAACCCCCGCACCCCCGAAACTACTATTTGAGAGCACTAATTGAAACAAGGTTACAGGACGTAGGTTTGTATGGCAACCACATAACTCCCTTTCATTGTGCTCAGAACTCGGTTCTGCTAAACACTTTGTGTCCGGTCAGCGATCTTTGTAACTACATACTTCAGGGCGTTGAAACGAGGTTTTGGGAGTAGGTTCCATCTATGTTTTAGCTCTGTTTCACTGTGGCAGTCCTCACAACCTCAGGCCCTGCCGAAAAAAGAAATCTAGCTCGAAAGCCAAAATTGGAGGTAGTGTTTGGTAGGTAAAAATAAAACCCAAACTCCGTTTCGAAAGAACTTAGTTTATACACCCTTAACTGAGCAGCCCCTAAACGGAGTTTCTATACCTCAACAACAGCCAGACTGGCCCTGAATCATCTGGTGATACCTCCTCCACCCACCCCTAGGCTATAAGAGAGATATATGCTCTCTTCTCGTAGCCACCACCCAGAATAGGACCTACGCAGGTGCTCAGCCATGATACCAAGAGCAAATCTTAGCCATAGCGTACCAAGAGAAAATCTTAGCCATACGCCGAACGGAAATCATTACCCCACCAAAGCACACACTACTTTTTCACCCACTCATCCACGCTCCTATTAACGCTCAATCCTCTTCCGGGGGTAGTCAGGTACCACCGAGAACATAATGGACCACCAACCTAGCATCCAGATTCACTCCTCATCATCCTTCTCTATTAACACCTACCTCCCGCCCCGTGAAACACAGCGGCAGTACCATGAACTCATGTCGTTATTTCACCACCAAGCTGTAGTATCGGCGATACGGAAGCAGCAGGCGAATATCGATCCCTCGCTATTGGGGAAGGGCGTGGGTGTAGAGACTGGGGAGTATTCTAGTGGAAGTGCTGTATGGATGCCGAGGGTGAGGGGTGGCAGAGGTGGGTATGGTGATAGGGTTACGGAGGTGGAGATGGGGGGATTGTTGATCCCCGGCTCTGTGGCCCCTTCACCTTGGAACCGGTGGCCGCGGCGGAGAGGCACTTCCTTCAGGATACCCATACCAATGTGGGGTGTATGGATGGAATCGCGATGGAGGGCAGGCCTGTAGGCGAGATGCGGCATTATCCCCGTCACGGACAAGAGTTCGTTAACCCCATTGAACACCACAAGAAGCCAAATTCGGGTGGTAATGCAGGTATGTGCCGGCCAGATACTAGGTATCTCTGGCGTATGTATGTGCGCAAGGCTAATGACATTTTAGACATCATTGCGGCAGCCGATACCCCATCAGGTGCAGCTGTTGCAACGGAGCCCGGCAGTGACGTTGCTGCCATTACAGACACAGCTCCGGATACCGTCAGCATCATTGGCGGCGCGGAAGAAGTTGCATTGGTAGTCCAGATACGCCGCTCGAAGCGCAAGAAGGCCGTGATTCCCGTCGTAGGGAGTGCAGCAGCGAGACAGACCAATGCAACCGGTTCCAAAACGGAGACTGCGGCGGCGGGGCAAAGTCAGAAAGTAGCTGTTTCCGTCGAGGGAGCTAGTCCCAGCGACAAAAGCGTTCGCCGAGATATTTCCCCGCAGGAACAGAGACCGAAAAGGCCTTATGCTAGACGCACCAAATCTCAGCCTATCTTGCCGTCCATCTCCGCAACCGTTCCCGTCCCCGCTGCTCCAGAGCCCACTCCCACCGTTCCCTTCCCCCATAAACCACGCGGCAAGCGCGACAAGACACCCGCGTGGTACCTCGACAGTCCCAGCTCGGCCAGCGTCGATGAAGCGGTGAGGACGGCAGCGGGAACGTTCCGATGCGAGGTGTGTGGGAAGGAGTGGCCGTGTCGTGCGGCACTGCTGAGGCACTCGTATAAGCATACGAAGCATTTGAAATATAGGTGTGTATGTGGGAAAAGGTTTACTCGTGGTGATACGTTGAGGGTGCATTGTAGGCGGGTGGGGTGTGTGCCTGCTGAGGGCGGTGGTGGGTTGGTGGATGAAGAGGAGGAATGATGGGTGCGGGGGTTAGGGAATGGTGTTCCCTTCTGGGTGGACGGGAGGTTGGGGGAGGCCTGATAAGAACATGTTGAAGTAATAGTAAACTTGCGTGGGAGGATTTGGGCTGTGGGGATTTGTTTTGCATGGCCCTTGAGGTAGTCTTAAAGCCTGCCCAGCGCCGGCTTAGTCGGTCGCGCTTTTCGCGTAAACTAATAATCAGAAGAAATAATACTTAATAGACATGGTCAGGGTTTCCAATGGTAGCTATAGGAGCTGGTTGTGATATAAGACAAAACCACACCGACGACTAAACCAAGTGGTTCAAACCGGTTTACCTTGACAGTTTGAACCAGTTTAACTGCTTTAACCGCGGTTTAATATCTTAGCATACTCAGCATGATAAAATAGCACTTCCCGTTCTCGAACAGGTGTTCGAGCTTTGGAATTGACGTTTTCGACCTCAGGAACTGGGGTGTTCGAGCTCATGAACATGAGATGTTTAAACCATTTAAACCACCGGTATAACTGGCTTTGCAAAATTTCTAAACCATTCAAACCATTTATTGAGGGCGATAAGAACTGCACCAACTGTTAAGTAAAAAGGTACAGTTAAACCAGTTTGAACCATATAACCGGTAAACCAGTGGAGACCCTGGACAGATTCAGTGTCGAGTGAAGCCCAAAACCATGGACGCAAAAAAAAAAAAAAAGGAAAACATGAAAAGGGATGAGCGAAAACCATCCTTAGGAAACTAATTTTAGAAACTAGAAGAAATCCCCAGCATTATAAATAAACATTCAACAATAAGATGTGTGGTTTTACACCGGGATCCTTTGGCCCATACGCCCCTATATCCTGCTAGGGGCCACACAATAAATGAATTATGAATCAATAAACCCCTATATCTCCATTTCCATCCAACTCTTCCGGCTCAGAAAAAATGCCATCATGTAGAGTTCCATCCTCTAAACCTTCCGTATTTAAACCTTTTTCAAACGTATTTAGCTTTTTCAAACGTTCTTCCACGTTACGACCACTTATCTTCCCACACAACTCCTTTGCATCACTTGCATACAGATGCGCCCACATTGCAGCCAGAGAGGTAGGTAGATGCGCTACTCTCCTCTCCCATTGAGGTCCCGGATATAGAAATATTATCACGATCGTACTGTATCCCAAGATCCCGACAATCGTTGCAAACATCGGGGTCGAGACAGCTACATTACCTCTCAGCACTCTTCCCTCCAGCTCAATTGTGTTTGCTGCGTCCTCATATTGTAAGAGGTCCTCTGCATATATCCGAAGCCAAATTGCATAGAGTCGGCTAATAGTGTCCTCAAATGCGTTTGGTAGAATATCGGGCCGTGGGATACGCGTTATATTCTGTCTCTTCTGCACAACATCCGGATGGAGGGATATCATATGCGAACTCTCCCAATGTATTCCGCCGCTCTCACGAGGCGCTTCAATACTCATATTAATAAAAGCGTTTGTAAGCAGATCAAAACCTCCCAGATAGATACAATCCGTATCCCCTGCGCGAGAGGTTCAATGTTGCTCACTTCGAGCACATAGCCCTCGAGGTCAACCGTTGCGGTGAGGCGCACGGTTTCATGATTGAGTGTACAGCCAAGCACGGAGCTATCGACGCGCGGGATATAACGATGAGTTGTGCTGTCGGGGTCCATAGGGGTCTCGCCCCAGGCAGCAAAAAAAATGTTCCTGGGCACTGTGGGCTCGTGACAAAGAAGTCTGAGGCGGGCAACCCGCCCAAGGCCGGCGCATACCCTAACCCCAAGTCTTTTGTGATCCCGTGTACGTCTGTTTGTTCATCTGTCGGCCAACAAGGCTCATGTGTAACGTAGAGACCAAAATTATCAAGAGAGAGGATGCGATCCGGCAGACCTAGCGACAATGTGGGGCACGGGTTTGTCAAGTAACGTTTGCCCTTGAAATCCAGCCTATGGCAGGAGATTATGATTTTCTCAATAGGAACATGCGAGCAGTGGGTGCGGGCTTGAAGCCCAAGGGTCGTGGCGGAGACTGCCTCAATTTCAGAAATATTAGGTAATCAGAAGTGGAGAAGGTAGAGATTGTCTGTAGTCCAGGTTAAGCGCTTGATAGTGCCTGATATCATACCCGCTAGCACATAGTGTACGTCCATAAAGTCTATCTTGCTGCCGAAATCACTCTTTAGTATAGGTTCTCCAAGACTTGTCAACGGGACTATGATGCTTGACGGAGTTGTCATTGGGTAGAAGACTCCGCTGAGGGCAACTGCAAGTACTTGGGACAGTAGTATCGCTAGTGCCAATGCAGCAAGGGTTAGGTCTCCTGACCGCAGAGCGTGAAAGACCTGAAAGTGTGGAGGGGATTTATCGTAGTCCACCGAAAGAGACCTTTCACTCTTTGCATGAGCATGACGAAGGGGCGTATAAGGCCTGAACATGGAGTAATAGCTTCCCAGCGTGGTAAGAAGTGGTCCGACAATAATCCCCAAGAGGGTTGGAAGGTATGAAAAAAGGGCGTTGTAGCCAAATGTGTTTTCTTTGGCAGGAAAGACCATTCCTAATTTCTAGTCAGAAACGCGCTTCAAGATTTAAGATTTGAATGATTCACTTAGCATTATTCACCTTACTACTGCCATACAGTGCCGAAGCCAGAGCTGTCATTGAGACGAAGAAAATCGCAAAAGAAAAGTCCAGAGTAGAAGGTAATAGGCCAGACCTCAGGACATCGAGGCTCGGGCTTGTCCAAAACCGGTAAGCTGACTAGTGGAGCACCCGTCGGGTACGTAACCTCGATTCGTGGTCCGATATTTGGCTCAAGCACCAACCGGTAACGTGCCATGCCGTGCTTGAGAATACTTCTAACTATCCTCATTCTTTGAAACTCCGATCTTTCCAAGTGGCTCGTGAGTTCGGAACCCCTATCCAATATACCTAGTGCGCTGGCAAGACTGTTGGGCTCTCCATCCAGGTAGCACCGGCGGTCCTTCCCTAGTAGTAGCATAAATATAGCTGGGATCGCGGCTGTGAAAAGCCCAGCTTGTGTACCCCTGCACCACCGTCTATTTGTTTTAAAAACCCGTACCGTAGACTGAGAGGTTATAATGCCTGATACATCGTCACTCGGCCTCCTAACCAGTGACGGCTCCAACCTACACATCGCTGCAAAATGGATTTTGAAAGCGGAGCGATAGATAGCTGCAAGTACGCCGGGGTCGAAAAGTGTCTCCAGTGTAGAGTTTGTTTGGGAATGGAGTGCAAAAGGGAGAACTCGCTCTTGTTCATACACAAAATGAGAGGTCTTTACACGCGGCTTATCGCTCGTGCCTCCGAAACGCTTCAAGGCCTTAATATCACTTCGACCGCTGGCGGCGAAGACGTACCCTAGGCCTACTAAATTAGCGATACTGTCTCTAAACCCACCTTTGCGCGCCGCTTCTGCGCTTTCTCTGCTAGATGTACCTGAGTGGTATGCACTGAAAAAGTCCCCCAGGTAGGATACCGTAGTCATGTCAATCGGGGATCGGTCGCATTTCTCGGAAATATTCTGGATCACTCCGGACGGCAGGAGCACTGTGGCATTAACGTGAGACTTATAATAGCGAGGGGAACAAATATTGCTGTCCAAGGGCGCGACATGGAACTTGTGGTTGTGGTATTTCCCTCGGGCCGTACCGATCCCCACACGTAGAGTACTGAGTTGTGCCTGGAGTAATCAAGGACTCGGTTTCCACTGAGTGCGGAGGAGATAGTTGCCTCTAAACTCCTTTCAGATTGGTTGGGTACAACTTGATAGCTATAGTACTCTGCCTGTGACGCGGACTCGGGGGTTTTGTATAGATACGTTGAAGATCGGACATACGCACAGCGCCAACCCCAGTGTCAACTAAGCTAGGTCGCTAGACGACCGAGGGAACCTTTGCTCTTTGGTGTGAGATTATAACGAACGATGCCGCTACCATCATCGGGTATAGGATTAGCATTTGCCTCCTTGCATTCTAGGTCAGCCTCGTATAGAATGGTGGGTCCAGTCCATGGATATTGACCAGAGATGTCATCTACTCTCTCCTCCGTATTGTTGCCGATATCGAGACTTGAATTAACAGGGTAAGGAGATAATTTATCAAGAGCATAATCTTCCGTCATAAATTCAGGCAGAGAGGAGTTAAGCCAGGCATGCGTATAAGGCGGGTGATAAAAGTTGTTGTTGAATATCCCAACATCCTCTAGACCAGGCTCCTCAACAGGGATGTTCCATCGAATAACAGGATACGTTATATTCTGGGACGCGAGCACGGGAATCATTGTACTCTCGGGAATACCGGTAGTCAAAGGTGTAATCATGAGGCAGGTGATAAAAAGTATAGATGATGACGCAAGCACAGTAAAATGACTGGGGAATTTGTTAGTTTAGGATATTATTACTAAGGAGTGATTGGAGGTAAACCGTTTCTTTGCCGCTTTGGGTGGCGGTCACTGGTGCGGGTACTATTAAAGGTATTTGAACTACTGTAGAATGTCCTGTTTCAGTTGCTTCAGTGGGTGCGGGTACTGTTTAGGCTGTAGTGGGTGTGAGTGGTGATCCAGCTGTAATAGAGACTTTTAGCCACCAGCAACAAACAAAATATTACTAATTCCTAAGACTATTCTGCATGCGTTAGTTCCTTGGCCCCCATAGTCTCAAAATTACTCCGATAGGGGAATTTTAGGCATTGGGATTGAAGATATCGCTAGGCGTAGCCTTGAGTCTTGCGGCCGAAAGTATTATATCGTATCCGACTTGCATGTCTTGGAAGTCTTGGGAAAATTTTTCTCTGTTCGCTGCTTTAAGGCGCTGGCTAAAAGTCTCTAATGTCAAAAAATAAAGGTGTGCAAATCTATCGCTTTCGGGCTATCCTTGGAAGGAGGAAAGTTGCCAAGTTTGCAACCTGGACCGTGCACGACTTAGTAATGGAATTATCTTGCTTTTTACGGTTGGCAACAACAGAGCCAATCAAGAATTTTGGAAACACGTACAATTGCCACAGTAGGCTAGTGAGAGCTGAAAGAATGTGGTCGCGAATTTGACAATTTCATCTGTCCAAGGGATAAACCAGGCAGCACTCTCCTCCCCGTCAAGGGAAACGAGTATGGAATGACAGCTTGGTAAGGGCGAGATAAACGACCCGGTATTTACACTCTTGCATCATATTGGTCTATGGGAATAGGTACAGTAAACCGACGGACCCCTTTTTCATTAAGCAGGCGATGGTATGGATTCAACTTACGGACACCTGTAAACGGAGGAAATTTGACTTCAACTTTTAGGGGTGATGACTTTCCAACCACCACATCTAAAATTATTTTTGCTCCGGTAAATGATGCTATCTCATCCGCTCTACATATCATGACAGAGTCCAATTAATTTCATCGATTATGGTTTGGAGTTATTGAAGTCCAAAAAGTTGGGTTTTGGGTAAGGGACCAAATGAATGTCGCCCAAAGTTGCCTATTTAGGAATTGGTTCTAGAGCGTTGCTGGCTGTTTCTGTATTCTCTAGAGTCCTGTTCCAACTAATCACAAAATAACGATCAATCAAAATCAACGCGGAGTAAAGACGTGATCTATGAGTACAAGAAGACTAATCTAGTGTGTGGTTCTCTCTTACGTCGCTTCTCGTCTAGACACATCTTTCTTAGCCACTTGTTTAGCCACGTATTACGCCTCATTATGCGCCACGTACTACAGCGTTAGGCATTCTAATTTCTTGATTAGCCAATTACCGTATCGCCTCTTAATATGATTAATGAATCTTGGCACGAAAGAGCATATATTGGCCAAGTTATCACTTGATTGGGAAAGTGATATCCAATACCTACTCCGGATACAGGTGTCCGAAACCATAAGAACCAAGGCTCGCACGCTATCTCTTACGAACACGGACATTTAAAGTTGGTTTGGTTAGCTGGTTTTCGCTGTTTGGGACACTGTTTGGACACTTTTCAAGACAGTATGCGAGTTAGGGATGCTGACTAAACACGACACATCCTTGGTAGCACAATGTAGGCTGTCCTTTCTGTGTTCTCCTTGGTCCTTCTCAACGGACAAAGTAGAATGATAAGATCCACAACGATGATGACATTCGATGATGACTGACGAACGGGATGACTTATGCTAAGAGAACAAGAAGAAACATGATGGGACTGCCCAGTTCTCGTGCTAAGCTACACTTGTCCTGTCTTCCATTGCCAACCCTTTTGCTAGTGTTGACACGTGACCTGCTCCACAACAACGAAAGGATACATTATTGAGTATATCACGAAAGGGTGAACTTACTGCTGGAAGGTGAATCCCCCGGCAACATGAGTTGAAGGTCTCCCGCTCCTAAACAACTGGGGTAGATTGAAGAACTACTGGAAAATTAAATATGAAGAAAGAGAGTGATTTATTCTACCACGGGGCCCGGGGGTAAATGCATCAGAAAATGCATCCTGCCATAGTAATGTTTTAAGAAAAGCATCACCTTAATGACTTTCCAGCAAGCGCCTCCTGGAAAGGCATCATTTCGATGCCTTTTTTGATGCCTTTTTTGATGCCTTTTGGGGATGCCTTTTGGGGATGCCTTTTTTGATGACTTTCCGATGTCAAAATAACCAAAATTATAGGTTTTCAAGACTTGATAATATGTTATTTATAGCAAAACCAAAACTTAGTGGTTACTAGGTGGTTAGAACCCTTCAAGACCTGAATTAAATCCCAATCCAAGTCGATATTTTCGAAAACTAATTTTTAGCCTAGTTTGCCAGTGGGCCCAGGATCCATTTCCTGATTCATTTCTGATTCATTTCTGATTCATTTCCTGATTCATTTCCTGATCCATTTCCCGACGAGTTAATTTACTTCATTTCCCAACAACCTTATTGATGCCTGTCAAACGACTTTCCCCATAGAAGATCTCGACGAGTTACCACATACTGTCGACTTGATGCATTTTCTTGATTCATCTCTTTGATTCATTTCCATGATGCATTAACTTCGGTGGTAGAGTGGCTGGGAGAAGTTGAATCCCTCCCAACGCTGTGGCAGTCGGAAATGTGTAGGGAAAGTCGTCACCAGATGCATTTAATATATTCGCCAATAAATATGTGTAGAACATAGTACTGTCCCTGAATAAAGATTAAGGCATAAGTGATAATATGTAGGTTGGATATTCTAAACCATAGGGGTATAATCCCGCCCAGTGGCACGGAATCTGTAGGGGTAGTGAAAGGCGACCTGGGAGGTTGTCCGGAACGTCATCTAGAAAGTCGTTTACTGGCAATTGCACTCGGGTTATATTTCCTGATTCATTACATTAAATAACCACTTTCTTGCTAGATTTAGGGGTTCATTTACTTTCATGATCGAGCCATATATGTAGCTGACGCGACCACTGCGACGCCTTATCGATTTATTATCGATTCATTATCGATGTATTATCGACTCACTTCAGAGACTCGTCTGGATACATCTACTGACGATTTTCACTAATAGATTTTCTAGCGTGGTAGAGGGGTTGTTGGGGTTGGAAGTGGACTTCGGCGGTTACAATATATATAGCAGAGCAGGTTGCGGAGCGGGCCTAGGTCAGTGGTTCGGGAATAGAGTACGTCACACAGAGAAGGGCCTGTTGATTTCCCTCTTGGCACTAGCTTCTCTACAGCTACCCTACAAAAACCATATTCCACCTCTCACACCCCACTACATACAACCACATCTCAAGCCCGCATCACCATAAATCCAAAATTATAAAAACAACCGCAACAATGACACCCTTCCCCTCCCCGCTCAAAACCTACCAAACCGACCTCGCCGCCCACATCACCCTCATCAACAACCTGCTCAAAGCGCACTCCTTCATGCACGACAAGGCCGCTGACGACCTCGCGACTATGTGTCGTGAGCACCCGCGCGGGAACTATGCCGCGCCGTCGGTGGCGGGCGGGATGGGGATCCGCTTGGACCAGACGGAGGAGAAGTTTTTGAGGGGCGTGCATGTGGCGTTCTTGAAGGGGTGCATCGACTGGCAGGTGGAGAGTTGTAGGGCGCTGGAGAGGAGGATGGCGGATGTGGGGGTGATGGAGGGGGCGAGGGTGTTGTTTGGGATGGTGGAGGGGGAGGAAGGGGGGTAGGAGGCGGGGGAGGCGGAGGAGGCGGAGGAGAAAGGGGAAGAGGAAGTGGAGGGGGAGGAGGGGCAAGAGGAGGGGGAGGGGTGGATTGAAGTTGGGTCGGGGGAGGATTAGGCGGCGAAGGAGAAGGGGAAGGGGAAGGGGCACCCCGAGGGGAAGGGAAAGGGAAGGAGAGGGCTGTGGAGGGGGATGAGTAGATATTCACTCGTTTGGTAGCAATAGAGAGAATATCGATGGCTTCAAGAAGGTTTAGCTAGGTCATAACCGTTAGAATAAGAGTTGATAACGTACAGTAGAAATCGCTCTTACTACAGAGTAAGATCTTGCTAAACATCGTGCGACCCAACTCGTTAGGTTCCTTATCTCGCACATGACATAAATACATGAACCTCGTTCAGAGGTATAGTCCCTTCTTCGTGCGCCGATCGGTTTCTGTCATCGTTTTTCACCGATGGTTGTATATTCTGCACGCGGAGAGAGGCTCCGGAAAGTGTTCTAGAAGGACATATACAAATATCGGTATCTCGTTTTTTTTTTCAACAGTAAGCTCGCGTGGAGGGGATCACACTCCGGAGCTCTGGCAAATGGGCCCGGCTACCCATCCCGCTGGGCCCGTTCGCCATCTCCGCAGAACGATCTGTGCATTCCTGATTCGTGTGGGATATATCTGCGGGCATAGCACGTTAGTATTAGAAGACAAAGTAGACTAGATACGATATTGCTATTGCAGGGCCGGGCACCGAGTGATATATCATGACGTGAACCCGCCTATGTCCATCCGCGCCTAACGGGTCACACTCTAGGAGCCAGGGACTTGATAATATCGTATGCAAGATGCTGAATGGTATATTGAGTTGCAGGACTTGGTTTAAAACTGTTGTGGCGGTGACGGTCGTAATAAAGACTCCGGACAAAGCTCGAGCGCGCACGCAGAGGCTCGAAAAGGATATGTACGTGGCGTTAATGTAGAATTCTGTTTCGTTAGGCTGAGGCAACTCTTGTAGTCGGGAAATGTGGAATTAGCTATTCAGTTCGTCCATTTGTTGTTTTTTTTATGTTATGAGATTTGTGTTGTGGGGTCCGGGGGTCCGCTGTCTCTCGCGGCCTGCGGTTTTGGGTCTCCCTCTCCCGGAGTTGGGAGTGAATTTGATGCAGTTGAGAGCTTAATAAAGAGAATTAAAGGAGAGGAAAGACACGTATATGGTCGTTGTTCAATAGGACAGCTATGAATGAATGGCCAATTCCCTCCTAAAGCCAGAGATCCAATGATGTTCTTTCCAGGCCACGCCGCCAGACCTACGTCAGGTAGCCCTCAAGGTTTATGGACAGCTAAACATGTATGCCAAATAACGACCAACTTGCCAGCTTGCAAGGCGGCATACTCGGCAACCTGGCCTCATCCAGTCAAAAGAGGTTTTGCACCACCACGCGTAAGCAGATACGCCATGTCCATTAGCGGTGCAAAACCTCGTTTGGCTGGATCGGAACCTTAGTAATTATAAAGTACGAATTCGGTTAGTAAGAAGGGCTCGAATATTGTATTTTGTCTCCGCCGTGGGCTTAGCTGTTGATGTTTAAATAACAAATAATTCACCCACCTCTTCCTGTTTATTCCTAACCAAGCAACCTTCTTCTACTTCTAGATTTCACAACCTAGATAGAAATTTGTAAATTTCTACAAAGTTCAATTACTCCTCAAGCACAAGCACATAATCAACAATCATGCTTCAGAAAACTTTCTTTGGTCCTGCGGACTTTCTCCCTTGCTCTGAGTCTGCTGTAGGTCTCTCCTTAGTTTGCTTCTTATACTTCCTCCACCTCATCCAACATATGCAGTCGCTTCTTATGGTGACTGTTTGAAACGCGCTCCACCGACATTCCTCCCCAATTTTATTTCACTGTTTTTTTCTTTAGCTAACTAGCTGGTTTCATTCATGTTCAGATCAAGCAAAAGCTCATGTCGAACAACCTCATGTCGAACACCCTCCCAAGTGGAGTGGCATTCTGTCACGACATGAACAGTCTCCCAGCTGCAGTCAAAGCCGTAAGTACCCTCCCCTCTCTCAACGACTCTCAATTGACTACCAACATAACTAAAACTAACTCCTCTCTCTAAAGAACACAATTAAACTCGCCAACAACGATGTCAAACTCTACAACGACTGGATCCGCGCACCCATCAAGCGCAACCACCGCCTCAAGAAGCCCCTCAAACCCATCCCCCCAACAGCCTTCCCCACAGTGTCAGAGCACATCAAACAGCTCACCTGCTTCGAAATGCCCATGTCCAACGACCGCCCCATGCGCAGCAGACACTTCTTCATCCGCATGCGCCTCCGGGGCATCATCGACATTGAAGAGGAGCTTCTCAACAGCATCGTACAGCATCTCAACGATCTTCAGGATCTCAAGGACGACAATCGCACTAGTGGTTTCACGATTGCCATGATGGAAGGTGATCTGCTCAGACAGCTGGGGGTGATTAGGGGGGCGAGGTGGATTAAGTTGAAGGTCATCTGTGAGTTGGCGATTATTCAGCAGGAGGTTGATCATTGGAGCTCGGAACAGCCTGATGATTGAGTGTGGAGAGAAGGAGGGGGGGGGGATAGCTGGGTGGTGGGAAATTAAATGGGCAGATCATGGTTTGGAATTAGTTCCTGGAGGGGGCCGTGAGAAGATCCTTGGAGCGTCTTCCCGAGTTGGAAGCTTTTGAACAGAACTGGATTGCATCTGTACTTAGTCTCTTGGAGGAGCTGGATGTCATGCGTGCGAGTTGATAGGTTTTGGGTAGATAAATCTAGTGCACGGTTTTTAAATTAGCTTTTCGTAGAGGCTAGTGACTGTAATCTGTTTCAGTGAATATTTCGCCCACATAATATTTTACAATTCTCATAGTTACTTGACATTGCCACCAATCTATTGCATTCGAACTATTCTAAAGTTCAGGCCGGGGGCGTGCTGGTTGGGTGCGTGCGGGTTAGGGGTGCGTCAGCTCGACGGCACAAGTGATACATTCGTGAGTTGCATACTAAGACTTAGTCGTGCTAAAGCATTTCCTGGTAGCAACGCCTAAGACATTGTCGTCAACATTCGCTGAATAACGCATTGAACTTGGCTTTTACCAAAGACCTCTGTGCATGACTCAACTTGTAATTGAGCACCCGTAGCCCCCCGCACAGAGGTCTAGATGAATAACCTGGTAGTCTTGTCTTACTTGCAACTCCCTCATCTTTCTGTCTGTTGTCCTTCATTTATCCAAACGAACATCCCCTCAAACATCGTCATCCTGATCCCTAAAGTCATCTATAAAACCCCCGACACCACCCCAAGACCCTCCAACCCACCCACCCAAACTAGCAAACCACCCTCAAACCCCCCCCCACACAACCCCCCCCCACCAAGAAATGCTCCAACCCTACTCCGCCCGCGGCCAAATCCGCACCCTCCAGCACCAATACCACACCTTCGGCCAGCAACGCCGCGACACCCTAAAGCGCCTCCGCCAGACACGCACAATGTACATGATCGCCTACGACCACGTCGGCAAGGGCGTCTGGGACAACGGGGCCTGGAAGAAAGACAAGGGCCTCCGCCTGCTGGCCAAGAATTTGAGGAGGCTGGAGGGGCAGGAGAGGGTCCTGAGGGAGAGGCTAGGGGTACTAGAGAGCGAGGCGTGGGAGTGTTTTGGGAGGATTGGGAGGATGGTGCCGGCGTTGGTGCAGAGGGGGGAGGGGACGAGGGAGGAAGTGGAGAGGGGGGGGAGGGAGGGGTTTAGTTTTGAAGTTTAGCACGGGTGGAGGGGAGTGGATCTGAAGGGGTGCAGAGGTTTTTACAACAAGTGGAGGAGGGTTTTGAGATAATCTGGTTGATGGTGGAGCTGTTTGGGTTTAAGTTGGGCAGAATGTGGCTTCTTTTGGGTATCTTTGTAAAGTACCAACATATCATTTTTCTTTACCTCCCTAGCAATATATTCGAACACATTAACTACAATTAGGTATAAGTGTTGCTGTGACTTCTGGACTACGTATAAATTAAAGCCTACTACCTACTAACAGGCCAGATATGCAAATTGAGATGTTACGTGTATGCTCGGAAGAGCCACAAAGCTATAAACGGGTAAAACAGGATTGGCAGCACAGCTCTGCAGCACAATTAGTACTACCTGGAGGAGATTACACCCGCTATCAAGGTAGATCACGCCAGAGATGGTAAATCCCTTCTTCACTCTACTAGCGTGAGAACCACATGAAGGAAACGTGCTTCCACACTGTATGGAGCCCAGGGACGCCGATGGGCCGTGGTTCGAGATGGGCCGCCCGGGCTATTTTTGGGCCAGGCGATGATTTGGATACCATGGGCCGGGCCAGACCAACCCTATTTTCCAGCCCGGGGTAGCCCATTGGCGTCCTTGATGGAGCCTGAGCTGGGTGTCTCGCCGATAGAGGTCCTGCAGTTTAAACTAACGCTGAATGATCTTAACCATCTGGCCCGGTATGCAAATCTCCAACCTTTTTTGGCATAGTGGTCAATGCACCATGTTTTAGGAAACTTATGACGACAGTAAGGATTCTTGGGTTCGAATCCCGAACGAAGCCAATTCAATATCTTTTTTCTTTCTGTGCCGGTTTTATTTTAAGATGGAAACGTGATGGGTAAACAGGAAAAACCGACCTGTGAATATTTTCGTTTTGTTAATCATACTAAGCTAGGGCGAGTTGATCTATTTAGTTGGATTCCGTAAATCCGGACCTTCCACATTTACGAGGAGCTCTATATATGCAGCCCTGTATGGTCCACAAATATTGCAGGGACAGAAACATGGATAAAGCGATACCACAGTCTTTGACATAGCTGTACAACTACCGTAACATCACCGGTACCTTTTCAGTATATATATGGAGATGGGCAGCAAATTCTGACAATACCGTACTGATGCTTTATCAGGGTTCCCCCGTTTTTGACAGTGTAGCTTTACCCTTCACACAAGGTACGTATCCTGATCCGTGCTCGATTGATCCATTAAGAGACGCCACTACTCCTTTTGCACCTAATTCAAGGACGGCACTATTGGCCTTGCACCTCATACAAATTGAGTGCACTTTGTTTAATCTGGGGTACCCTCAGAATCTATAATTAAGCACCTCCAGTCCCAAGTCATGACTCTCCCAGTTCCAACTATCTTCTCAAATCGGTAATTAGTAACAACAATATTCCACAACAACTATTTATATTTACTAATTATAATAACAATTCTTAATCTAGATACATAACAAATAATCTTCGATCATGACATCCACCACAGAATCCCTACGTCTTTCCCAGATCGATCTTCTGACGCAGAGTATCAAGTCTTTCAACCTGACTCTCGTTATCCAAAATCAAATCCGTAACCGTTACGTGAAGCAGCTCGCCGAACTTCATATCCATGATATTGACGACTACGCCACGGTTGTCGGTGATGATATCGATTGTCCGTATGAGGATATTGCGGTTGCTATGGCCAATGTTGGGAGCGAAATGGCTCGCACTGCACAGCTAATTAGGGTTTCGGAGGAGAAGCTGGCGGACATCTTGGAGGGGAATAGGAAGTTGTGGATTGTTTAGACCCTTGGGTTCACAAGAGAGGCTTTTTGTTATTTGATTTTGATATCTTTGCACTTTGGCTATCATGGTGAGAATGTTTAAAGAAAATAGTTCTGCGGAAACGATTCACAGGCTGACGGTTACAAGATTTAAATCATAATCACCCAATATCTTGAATACCACACATATATGCAACTTACTATATCGGCGCAGGCAGGAAACACGAAGGATGAAGCATTGGGAGCCGGGAATGAAGGAACTACCTGTTTACACTACCGTTAGATTCTTGCAGTACTTGTGTCGTTTACTCCAATCTGGAGCTTAAATAGGTTGAATAAATAAAGACAATTTCAAGCTTAAACTTTTCTCTACTCCCCATAGCAAGATCACTATTCTACCCATGAACGTGCCTATTATATAGCAATATATTTATTATAGTCATGAACCAGTCTATCGGATAGCCTTATCATGTTATTGTAGTGAAGGTTTAATTTGTTGAGGGCAGTTTGATACCGTAAATCCGTATACATCTTCTTATCCACCCTAGAATATCGGTGATGTGCATGTAATCTCAAAATATTAATACTCCCTCTACCATAAATTAAATAAAATAAAAATACTCCCTCTACCAAAACTTAAATGTATCGCCATTCCTGCTTTGTCCTTGTATCACATGACTTTGTGGGTGCCACATTCAGTTTTGCACCCTGCGTACCTACTATAAATATGGAACACTCCCGACCAGAATACTTTTCCCACCACTCACTCCTACACATACAAACAAACATTCTGTAATGTCTTCTCTAGAGCCTACCTCCAATACACAAGTGATCAACCTCCTAAGGGACGCGATCGATCTCCTCAGCATTACCCACTCTGTGGCCAGCCGGCTCCGCGAATGTTATGTCAACCAACTTGCGAGTATCCGAACCGCCCATGCGGCCCCAGTGGCCGGGGAAATTATTGATCCGATTCCCGAGAGGACTACTCTTCAAGCTATTACTGAACTCGATGGTATCATTTCCGATGAGACTAGGTTTTTTCAGGCATGTGAAGTGAGGTTGCAGCAGCTACACTGTGGCGCGGTCAGGGCAGTGTGACCTTCCGAGAACTGCGGTCGGCGGTGACAAGGTAGGAGAGTTTGAATACTATGGCGAATAAAGCTAAGATTGTTTCTAGATGAAATGCTCAACCGGGTTATGCAGTGGACAACGAAGGTAACAGGGCCCAGTGAGAAGGATTCGGAGAGATGACGTATCCGGATGCGGTAGTAGAATCTATCAGTTTTCATTATCAGCTTCTTCGATAGTACTCCTAGAACTGTTTTCTCAGATTAAATACCTTGAATAAATCAAATTTTGATATACTCCTAGTCTCCTATATCTGTCTCTTCTCACAAGTGTCGTGGATATTCTTCCGCTAGAAGGTAACTAAATTTCGTAGCGGTCTGTAGGCTGCGTTCAACCAACATTTGTACGGCAAGATAATTTCAAAAATGGCCGTCCTCAACGGCCACAAGTTGAGGAGAGAGGAGAATTGATTCATATGATTTCTATGTCTATTATCTCAGGTTTTAATATAAGCCTGGTTGAAGTGGTTTGAAATTTCGTTATTCTAGCCAATTTGTGTGCTTTCGACGGGAATGCCCGGATAATTTGATAACCTACATTATTAGCTCTCTGTCTTCCTATTAATGTGAAGAAATGTCAATGCTATGCGTATAGCTCCAGATATTAATAGATACCTCTTGTAAACCTTTTATGTATCACTATTTCCATCTTGTCCTTGCACCACGTGAGTTTACGGATGCCACATTCAGTTTTGCACTCACATAACTGACCTATAAATATGCAGCATCCCCCACCGGAACCTTTTTTCTACAACTCACTCCTACACATACCAATATCACACCTGCCACCATGTCTTCTTCTCAGCCTTTTTCTACGGTGGGGGTGATCAACATCCTAAGGGACAAGATCGACCTCTACAAGCTTTCCTTCGCTCACACAATCGGCTACAGCAAAGATTGTCACATTCAGCTTGCTAGGATACGTGCCGCCCAAGCCGCCCCAGTTGTCGGCGAGACTATCGACCCCGCCTCTGAGAGCATTGGACCTCAAGAAATTGCAGAGCTTGACTCCATCATTGCCGAAGACACGAAGAGGATTCGCGTGTGGGAAACGAGGTTGTGGAGGCTGATCGATGAGGCGATCAGATCGGCGTAGCTTCTTAGATTTGCGGGTTTGAGTAGGAGAGTCTGAATACTATGGAGGATTGGAGCTAGAGTGGTATCTAGATGACAGGTACAAGCAGAGCTTGGAATCAACAACTAGAACAACAACACTCGGGCAAGCAGGGAGGTTCTCGGGGGTGACGGATAGGGGTGGGAGTTGCCGGTTGTGACTATCTGTGTCTTTGTACCAATTAAGCTATTTTCTCAAATTAAATACCTTGAATAAATCAAGGGATTAAGTCTTTTTACTGTCTTTTTAGTATCCTGTTCCTGTTTTCTCCTATAATTGTCATGGTATTGTGATTCCAGAAAGCACTTCACTTGTTCGGTAGTGAGATGCAGTGAGCGTGCACGCATTTAGATGTATGATAGTACTGTAGAGGTCACACGGCCGGGTTGTGGCTGGTTGGTGGGTGAAGCAAAACTGAAGGTTGACTGCCAACTCCTTTTACCGCGGATGAGGGAACAAAGATTAGGTCCTCTTCCCTTGAGTAAGTACGAAGTCCTCTTCAATGCCAGTTAAGCTACGATATTCTCAGTACACGTATGACGTGCGATACTCTTCATGTTCTACATAACACTTAGGCTAGTTATGACGTGATTAGCACAGGGTGGCTTGAGGATAGACAAGGACACGCAACAGATGGACACTTGTAGCTAGTGGAGATACGGTGGCAACTACGAGAGGAAAGAAAAATTAGAGTAAGACTTCTTATTAGTATCATTATCAAGATTCATATCTATTTCGTTACTTATTCTAAGATCTTGCTTTATAATCTTGCTTGCAACTGTCGATGACGTGCATCTCATCCCTGCGCTTGGGCATTCTCAGCTGGTAGCTACTTCCGCAGGTTCGAACGGAAATTCTTCCTGTGATTGCGGCTCATGTGCAGGACATTAGGTGAGCAACTTTTAGTTTTGTACTTGACACAAATTACTGAAGTGCCAAGCCCGTGTCCAAGGAGATATAAATATGTAGAATCCCACCCCGGGGTGCGGACTCACTCAGCACATACCAATTATTCTCCACCGCTGGTAATTAGTAACATCTATATCAATCCAAGAATTAAACATCTACTTACTAAATAAGTATTTCGTACAGAACCCTCTCTGTACCCACCACCATCCACCCCACCTAATCAATCAATAAATCAGCCTACCTAGCCATTACTTTCCACCATGTCGCTAACATCCCCCGCCTTCAAGCTCCACGAGATGAACATTCTCGGTGGCCAGATCGAAGTCCTCAAAGCCGAGCTCACTCACTTGAACCTATTCCTTGGACGCTATATCAGACTACTTTCCCGGGTGCACGCCGAGAGCCTGGATGCAGTTGCCGGCGATGCCATCAGTCGCAGGAATGAGGGAATGGCTGCTCGGATTCTGGAACTTACACAGACACTTGTGAACAAAACTCAGTTGCTCTTGTCCTTGGATGACAGGCTAGTGGCGCTGTTGAATGAGAATCGATCGGTTAAACTTCATTAAAATTAACTCTCGGGGGTGTCACGAGTTTTTGATTCGAGGTAAGAAATCTTCAGTTACCTACTACCGGGGAAAAGAAAAGCTAACACCTGCATTCTCTAGATTAAACTACGACCGGATTTTATAGGAATACACGAGAAAAAGAGGCTCAGTTAGGGAAGCTCGAGCGGATGAGGGATGAGGGGGAGGGATCTACCTGTGTTCATTATCTTATTCTGAACGCAATTGAGCCGTTTACACAAATTAAATCTTCTAAAGAACTTCAAACCAGGAACTTGTAGGCTCCAAACTTCAAAACGTTCTCAAACCACATAAAGCTTTTTTCTCATATGCGTCTCGTGACCATTATATCCTCAGGCGTGACAAGAGCCCAACCCCGCAGACACATTCTCACATTGCGTTCAATACTAGTAAGGACCGTCAGTGACGCGCGCCAGATCTTCTGAGATTATTAAATGGTCGGTTCTGAAGGCCTTGTGGATGTGATGAGCCCGAGCCGAGCGGGCTCGAGCGTTGATATCGAGCTTGAGGCTCGAATAGGTCGAGCTCTCTTAGTCACGAGCTTAGGCCAGCTCGAGCCCATTATATCCGAAAAGCTTGAGTCTAGGGAAAAGTTAGTAATGGTTAGAGAAGCCCAGAGCTTGGTGATTTATGTGAGAACATATCCTTCATTATTCATCCTGGATATAAACTCCGCATATATACCGACTTACGGTAGGATCTATTTTTCAGTATGAACATGAGAGCTCGAGCCTGAGCTCGAGTACAGCTCCAGGGCTCGAACACCTCGAGTCTTTGTCTCCACAATCTGAGCCGGCTCGTGACCGTCACTACTTGTGGCTCTTGTGGCGGCTACTCTTAGTTTTGTACTTTACATAAATTACTCAAGTTTTAGGTACTCGCCGTGGATATAAATATGTAGAGCGCCGTACCGGAAGTGATGACTTACTCAGGACATCCCAACCATCCTCCACCACCGGTAATTATTAACAACTATATTAATCCCATCATAAAACAACTACTTACTAAAGAAGTATTTTTAATAGAACCATCCCTATACCCACCGACCATACTCTCGACTAATCCAGCAAGAATAATCAACCTAGCTACCTTCCACCATGTCATTCACCATCACCGCTTCCAGGCCCATCCGGGTCGGCCTCCTCAACAGCCAGATCAGCGTCCTCAAAGCTGATCTCTTTCACTCCCAAGCATTCCTTGAACGTTACGTCAGGCTGCATGCCCTAGTGCAGGTCCAGAGCATTAATGCAGTCAATCCCCCGGTTGCCGGCGATGCCATCAGTATCAGGAATGAGGGGATGGCTGCTCGAATCGTGGAAATTAGACACACAGTCATCTCCAAAACTAGGTCCCTTAACGCCTTGGAGGACAGGTTGGCAATGATATACATGTTGGAGGCGAATAGATGGGCTCCACTTCATATGCATTAAACCTGGCCCTCGGGGGTGTCACGAGTTTGTGATTACAGGTAGGGATATTTAGATACCTATTAAAAAGAAAAAACGTTAACATATTCTCTAGAGAAATTGTGACCCAAATTTATAGTATCTAAAAAAGAACGTGGGAATATGCACAACAACATACCCGGCCAGGGAAACTCGCAAAGATGATGGGAGGGGGGATGGGAGCTGTCACAGTGTGACTCGCCTGTTATTATGATTCTCCTGTACTTGTACTTCTTATACACAAGGGTTCTTTACGCAAATCAAATAGCTTGAATGAAAGAAATTAAATTAAGTTTAAATCTAAAATATTCTCCAATTGTGTGCTATAGCCCTATTTCTTTTGACTCTTCTCTTGATTGCCGTGAGTTACAAGTAAGTGGGACACGTAGCTTAGCTCTTTACCTTCGGCCTGGGCACGTTGGCATCGGAAACGGAAACTGTGGTCTTCGTGCTTGAGACGAATGCAGCACCACTCGACATACCAACGTACCTTATTCCGCGGTGGTAAGGTGGCCTCCTATGTTTCAATCAAGGGTACACAAATGGGACTGACCCGCCGACCCTCCCCCATCCTCTCTCATCATGCGCATGATATACGCTACAAAAATTCTGAAGGCATGGTACGGGGGCGTCTGGACTCCGCTTTGGTGTACGGGCGGGTTTAGTGCGTGACGCAGCTCATGCAATCAATGAATTAAACAAAAAAAAGAAAAGCGTGACGCAGCTCTCCGCATCATGAGATATCACTCGCATATCTCAAAGACCTCCTCCCCACAACCCAACTTGAACTGAACCTTACAGAACAGTTTTAGAGGTTCAGAGTACATACTCATACTCTATCGGTGATTTATGAAGTTCGAATGCCGATATTCTGACACCCCCGGAGTATGTAATTATCCAACTAGTCGGCCATGCTGAACCAGCCGTGAGTATTTAAAGGGGGCTCCTATTCCATTTCGAGCAAATGCGTCTACCCGGGGAAAGTCATACGGGTTTTTATTTCTCCTCTGCATCATCGACAAACTTAAGTCACGAATCATCCATCTCCAACGACCATCATTTTGAGAGTTTCATCGTACTATCTAGTAACTATTACCCAACTTGGTGTTCATGTTGAACATACTAACGTCTAAACCCGCAGCTCAAAAATCATCATCTTCCAAAAACCGACAACCACTCAAAATGCAGCGTCCAGGACCATTACCCCGCCCCTCCAGCACCAACTACCACCCCCATCCCCCATGCCTCATCCCAGGCCTCCGTCCACCTTCCACACCCCCACTCCCCACCGTCCCACCACTCTTCAGCACCCACACACCACCGGACACACCCCTATTCCCCACGGTCCCGCTACTCTTCAGCACCCACACACCACCGGACACACCCCTACATTCCATTCAGCCCCTCTTCACCCCACACCCACCGCAACCACACGCCGCCACCCATCACCCCTCACTCACCCGCGCCCAATACATCGACCACCTCCTCCACCGCCACAGCGCTCTACGCACTGACTACATCGCACTCAAAGCGCACCACCAGCGCCTTGTGCAGCAACATGCGAACGCGCTGAATCCGGGGCGGAACCCGACTGTGAAGGTGTATAAGGCGGCACCAGTGGTGGTGGGGCTGGTTGGGTGGTTGGAGGGCGTGGCAAGTGGATTGGAGAGCCTTCTGGATGAAGTGAATATGGCGGAGCGGAGAGCGGGGGAGGTGTTGGCGGAGCTGATGAAAGTGGATAGGGAGTTGCAGGAAATGGGGGTGCCGGTGGCGGAAGGGTAGGTGGGGGAATAGAGGTGTTGGGATAGGGAGCTGGGTGTGGTCCTAGGATCTTCTGGGGGACCCTGCGGTGGTATATTCTTACTTCTTTTGTCTCTAGTTTCCTTCTTCCTTTTTTTTTTTTTTTTTTTTGCGGGAGAGGTACCTAGCCATGGCATCGGAGAAACTTGGGACACCGAACCAGATCGATCAGCTATTTTGTCTATCAAAATCGAACTTTCATCTACACGAGCCGGAAACAAAGTGAAAAAGCCACTTCTTCTGGTGTTTCTCCCTAGATTATATCACCTACGCACTATAGTACTAGGGGGTGGATCTTGACGGAAAAAGCTATAAAATTCGAATTTCGGTCGTTCCAGCTGACGAAATAGTTTGCGTGGGACAGAATGGCAGCAGTGATATTTAAACTTCTCCACGCATCTTATACATGGTTTAGAGAGATATGCTGACACAGGAAGGATTAGAAAAAATGCTTCTCACCTCTAAAGAAACCCTAACCCACGATTGTGGTTCTTTGTGGGTCGAGTGGGGATCAAATACTGTAGTGCAAATTAGGCGTAACTGTGTTATGATAAGATTTAGCGGTGACGTGGCCTAGCCTCGTTGAGTAAATCTGTCCTGTTTTCAGACCTTTATAAAACCGGACTTCGTAACCTAGACTTCTCCACCATCACCCCACCCATTATCGGACTTTGGGATCGCTCATAGTGAGTGAGGCCTGGTCTCGTACGCAGCCCGTTACTTGCAGCAACCTCTAGAAGCACGGACGTAGACAAGTTGGGGACGAGCCAAAGTGAACCCTAATCATAAATACCCTGGAAAAGTCAATATGTATCGTATCAACCACGAAACCGGACGGCTTCTGGCATCAACCAGGGCAGACTGTTACCCTCTGATTCGCTGCTTAGTGCGAAAGGAGAGGAGAAAAAGCGAGCATATCCTGGTGGCGGCAGGACTGGAGGGGAAGCGCCCAGATCTGGACCATGAAGGTGCATCGAATGTTGGAAAGCCGTAGTGTTTTATATCTCGATCTAACATTAACTAATCGCTAATTAATTAAAAGGTCAGAAGTGACTACAAAGAAATCCCGACTAGGACCTCCGACCGTTTGATTAATGTCTATATTCTCACTACACCCTCAGCAAGTACTTCACCTAATCTCCATCCTGAAGCTATCCTAAATATTGCTCAATTCCCTCCTCTTGCTAACTCTAATACAGCAACCATCTCTACACCGAAAACTCCATGAACTCCCACATCGACGTCCAAAACCCTATGTCCTCGTCCTCCCTATTCGGCACACCCCTCATCATCCCCCACCCCTCCATAATAACCGGATCACTGAGTCTCTGTTGCTCCCTATAAAAATTATCTCCCATGCCCTCACTACCGATAATCGTCACCCCCGGGCTCAGCTTGTAGATCTCGTCAAGAACAGCCATCCGTTTATTTTCGGCGGCATCGAGCCTGGCGCGGACCTCCCGCTTCTCGCGTGTGAGAAAATGCAGGAAATGCCGAGCTTTGGCGGTTTGCTCGGGGTAGTGCGCAGCGAAGAGTTCGTTCAAATCTTCGATGCGTTGTTCGACGTAGAAGATTTCGCTAAGGTGCTCTTGAAGAAGGTCGACGAGTGCTTTGAGCTGTTCGGCGGGGATAAGGGCTTCCATGGTGAGTTGTGTTTTTGGGGTGGGGTTGGATAATATTATTTGAGTTAGTTGTTTGTGTTTGAGAAGGGCGTTGTTGGATAGTGTTGTGTGAGTTGCCTGTGTAATGAGGGATAGAGTAGGATACGCTGCAAGATATTTAAATATGTCGTTGCTAGCTTGGTCAGATTTCATCATATCCTATTTTAAGTGCCTGCGTTCATGTAGCACAGTGGCTCTTTCATGATAGCACTCACCTTGATAAGTTGTTCATTGAAATTTTCAAGATTCAATTTTCATATTAAGAGGCCTTTCATGGCCCATGGCCAATATTCACAGCTGGTGTGCACCTCACACTTGAAATACCATTGAGCCATGTTCGCCCATCCAAGATTAACGAGTCATGATGGTAGAGAAATTGGCTGAGAGAGCACTGAGGGTTCTTCGGCATCGGTATATTCTGCTCTAAAGAAGCGCAAGAGGGAGGGTGTGATAGGATGGCGTCCCTACTACTTTTGGAACCGAATCAATTATTCTTTTGCTACCGAACTGGTTGAATCATTTGGTTCATTTCCACACTCACTTGATGTATTCTCCCACCCATATCTTCTTTCCCGACACCTTTTCTGATAACCTTTTTGCTCTTCTTGCTGGCACCGGTGTTGACGTTCTCCAGAGGCCTTTCCAGACACGTTTCAGGACACGTTTCAGGATACATTTCCGATAGCGCCTTTCCCGACACGTTTTCCGACGCTTTCCCCGACGCCTCTCTTGATGCCATTCCCGATCCCTTTCCCCATCCCTTTCGTGGTGTCATTCAGTACTGAAAGTATTCATATATCAATTGATTTTCTGTGAAAGCATCAGGAAAGGGATTGGGAAAGGCATCGGGAAAGACACAATTGGAAGGTTGGAAAGACATCAAGGGAGATGTCTGGGAAAGACATTAACACCGGTGGAACTAAAGGGGCCAGCAAAGGTGTTGGGAAAGGTGTCGGAAAATGTAGTTTTATGTAAATGTAATTACCTTAATCAACACATTGACACGATTCATTTCCCAGGGTACATCTAAGATGGAATTTGGATGCATTTATTGATGTATTTCTGAAGCTAGTAGAGGAGCGAGGCCCATGTACATCTTTCTCCTGTCGGGAGGCCAATCATGTCAGAAGAGAACGAATATCGAGCCAAACGAGTGACGGTTCATGACGTAACTTTAACGCCAAGTAAAGCGAGTGACATCTCATGATAAGCTAGAATATACCAATTGAACGAGTAAAAGGTAACGATTGGCATTTACCGCTGGGATATTGGGGCTGATGCCTATGTTATCAAGTAGCCTTTTATTTGATATTTTTGCGAGATTTTTAATGAATCTAGCAAAGTTAGTTTGTTATTAATGAAAACGCCGTCTCCAACCAGTTTCGCTGGCGGGTCTCTCAAATTTTGGTCTGGAAAACTGGGATTTTTTCTTCTCTGTGTTACAACTATCTTGACCGCCGCCCCACTTGTGTCGGTTGAAGCCACATGTTATTTGCTCAATCAAGAGCTCAATCACACTGTACTGCAAGGTTGCTTTGGACACCGTTAGGCTTCGTCATTTGAACAACATAGGATATTATGGAGCTTGACACCTGAAAGTTGTCGTTTTAAACCATTTCCTTTTGACTGACATAGCTCCTGCACATCTAAGCAAACAACCTTCTAGCTACTCTTAACGCAGAAAAGCGTTTCCTCTACCTGAATCAACCCCAAAAATCCCCTTCCTCATCGCCAATGTTCTTAACCTCCCCCCCCCCCCCCAAATCAAGTCTCTCACTCCCATTGATCACTCCAACCCCACCCACTCCCCCTATCTACCACCACCAATACCACGGGCATGATCATAAAGTCAGCCTACACTGCTCACACTTCCAATGATCGCACACCTCACACTCGCGCACATACTTCCACGACCACCGACTGCCGCAGTTGCAGCACTCCCACAGCGCATCCGTTCCTGAACCCGCCTTTGGATATAGGTATACGTCTGGCAACTCAATGGGCGGGGCAAGTGCAGGGTATGGGCAAGATGTGGGGTCCATTATTTCCGGGGTGCGTATGGGGTTGGTGTGTCTGTAGATACAGGTTTTGTAGATATTTGGAGTAGAGGTGTAATGATAGATAATGGCCCCAATAATGACTCTAAGTGGTGATAGTGAGCGTGAGGATAGAGTGTGCGTTCGGATGAACTGAATCTGTGTGATGTTCTAAATGGACAGGAGTCCAAACGAGGTTATATAACGGGTGCGCCTGCGGCTGTGATTCTATGCTTGGGTGGGGGATAAAAGAATACGGCGGCCTCTGCTCGATACTAGGCCGTGGATCTGCCGAGATGTAGATGGGTTTCGGACGGCGGCTTGGAGCTGGCACATAGAAAGAGGGGTAGTTGGGTTGGGTTTACATATTTTTGGTTACGGCGGCGTCAGGATCTAGAGATTCCAAGTTGGGTGAGGAGATCATGAATTGTTCCTATCAAATGTCTGTAGGTGTTGTTGGTTGGGCAGTTCTAAGTCTCATCTTGAAAAACAGCCTGATATCATCTCTGTCATAGAAGCTTGGCGGAACCGAGTGAGAGTTCATGACGCGAGTGAGAGCACATGACGGTAAATTTAAATAAGTGTTAGTTTTTCAAGTTTTTTGTGAAGTGACAGTTGATAACCTACGACATGGAACACCCTCCCTGTGGATACTGGACTACTTGAAAATCGAAGCCTTGGTATCAAGATATCTATTCGAACCGGAGGATGATATCATACCATTCTCCCTCACTGATCTAGATCTTGAATCCTCCGACACCCTATAAGAGCCGCCCGCTCCCAGCCAGAGTAAATTCCCATCACCAATCCGATACGATAAACTCAAGCCATCAAATACTTAAGTCATCAAATATTCAAGCCTTCAAACACCCAAAGCAAACCCCCCAAATACACCACAACAATGCCTTCCCCAAACACAAACCTCGACATCAACCACCCAACCTCCTTCCCCATCCAGCACTTCACGCTCCAGACCCGCATCACTGCCATCGCCAAAGCCACCTCCACCCACAAGCTCATCCGCGAGCGCCTCCTAACCTTGAAGAATTATTTCAAAGATTGCCTGACTGACTTGTTTTTAGAGGCTCTGGAGCGGGAGCAGAACCGCGTCAACCGCGTGCTGGGAGATTTTGCTACCGAGCTTAAGAAGGTGGAGGGGGAGCTTGAGGCGTTGGAGAGGGAGGAGGCGACCAGGGTGGGTATGAAGGGGAAGGAGGCGCGGGGAAGATACGCTTAGAGGGTGCATGTTGGTGAGGACCGTTGAGGCATTGACATAGCTTTAGGGCTCTATCAATCAATCAATTCAACAACAAAAAACAAAAAACAGGACCGTTGAGGCTGTTGGGTGAGTTAGGTATTAGAACTTATAGAAGAGAAGAAATTAGACGCTTTAGCAGAAACATAAAGATCAGGACAGCTATGCGTGATGCAGTGGAGATACAGTGTCCATCTTAAGAATGGAATGGTGTGGAGAGAAAGAAATATTTGAAATTGGCTCTGTTTGGGATTCGAGCCAAAGTATCCCTGCTGTCGGCATAAGTTTCCTAACGCAGGGTGCATAGACCACTATGCTAACAGACGTTGAAGGACAGCTTGCCTTGGGAGATGTTCACGGTATATTCGATACCCCGGCCTACTGAATAGCTGCGTGGTGCGAATCACCTCTTCATCACGTTAGAAATGTTGCCCCACATCAGATCGAAATTCTAAACATCAATTGCGGATGAAGATAAAGTTACGAACAATATGCCACCCCAATTGTTCTGAAGAAGGTTCAGGATGAGCGCTGTCAGTCGCCTTTCCACCGTGAGTCACAATTACCACGCCCTTAGCTGCATGTATCTTTGCGCCCATCGCCATCTCACGTGACAGCTCAGCCCAAGTGCAAAACAAAATATGGGAACCCGTTCGTCTACATTTATAAACCCCACCTTTCCCACCAACTCTTCCTCTTCTTTCACACCGCAAACAAACCCCACTATCGCAACAACACGCACAAAAGGACACAAGAAATAACAACGTAAAATAACCACCACACTCCTCCTAAACAACCCCGAACATCCACTAATCTTAAAGCAGATAAAATGCCACACCGTCCTCGCCCCCCACCTGGCACCCCCCACGGCGACATCACCGACGACCTCCCCCACCGCTTCCGTTCGAGCTCCCCACCCCAGCAAACCCCCTTCAACGAGCTCCTCGGCCAATTCCACGCCGACACCACACACACCGCCGACGGCCTCACCGGGCCCATCATGATCCCGAGCGGTCCCAGCACCAGCACACCGAGAATGAACTTAGCGCCACATGCCCCATACGATGGCGAGTCGTGGACCCTAGGGGCAGGACATGGCACGCCCGCTGTTGCGTCGCAGCGCGGAGAGATTAGTAACCTGCTGCATGCAAATCGCGGTGGGGCGTGGATGGTGAGAAGTGGAGGCGCGCAGGGTTGGGGTGGACCTGGGACGATGGGAATGCAGAGACCGTATAGTCTGCCCTATCATCCTGGGTACAACGGCGAGTCTTCAAGCAGCACAGCTAGAGGCTATGCTACTCCAGGTCGGCATGCATACCACGGCATCCCCACGCGCGGCGAGTCCTCCAGAACCGGTGCATCTGCATCTTGCTCTACCAGGCCACCACCAACCACTGCACCGATCACTATCCCAGCGCCCCACGGCGAGTTCGGCATCCTCCACCCAGGGAGACTCATGCACCCCCGCCCTCAGCACGCATTCGCCACACCTCTCCCAGCGGCGGGCGAGTTCGGCATCCTCCTCCCTACCACGTTCCCCCCGCTCAACGAATCCAACCCACGTACCCATATCCGCTCCCTCGCCCGCGCCGACAACCATGCCTCCCCGCCCGTCTCTAGCGTCATCACCGCCAACGGCGACTGGGACGGGCCGAACAACACCCGCAGTCGTATCCGCATGAACGGCGTATCCATTACGCTTGTGCCGCGTGGTGAGGCGGTTGATGGAACCACGCGTATTCTGGCGCCGATGCCACGGTGGAGGGCGGTATTGGAGGAGCTCGATGCGCAGGATCAGTATGTCATTACGCACCGCTGGTGGCGGACTATGCGTGAGAGATTCCCGAGGGGGTGGGAGGTGAAGGGTCGTAGTGGTGAGCGCGGGTGGAGGGTGGAGGATAGAGTGGGGTTTGTGGGTGCTGATGGGGTGGGGAGGGAGATGTTGCTTGCTGGTGAGTGCCATAGAGCAGATATATGTAGTAGGTGTATGCATTAGTAAACTGATATATGTACTAGTGACTCGCGACCCCGACCACCGCATCGTAGCACTCGACTGGCACGCCCCCACTGGCCACGAAGACGCCGTCACTACCGCTATCTGGGGACTCACCTTCCCCGCCTACATTGTCACTGCACCGCCCAGCTATCACTCATTCGGCGACGCCTCGGACGCCACCGATATTGACGCTGCAAACCCTGAGCATGGGCGCGGGCCAGCATGCACGTGCTGCACGCGCCGGGAGGCGAAGCTGCTGTTTAGGTGTAAACACCGCATGTGCCGCTCTTGTGTGCTGGGCATGTGGTGGGGCGCGATCAACAGGCCACATCACTGGCCGACTTTTTTGAGGTGCGCGTTTTGCCGTGGTTGGGTGGGGAAGTTGGAGGGTGTGGGGATGGTGGGGTGGGTGTTGGCGCAGAGTAAGAGGGCGAGGGTAAAGTTGTGGATGGAGACGGTGGAGGAGGTGAGGCCGGAGGGGATGTGGCCGTTGTTGAGGGAGATGTGAGTTGGCCTTTTAGTGTTTTTTTTGTGTTGTTGGCCTTTTTATGTGGTCTTTTGTTTGGTGGTGTGGTGAGTCGTGCTGACTGGTGTGGTGTGGTGTAGGAAACAACGCTACTTGAAGAAGGAAGGCAAGGCAGCGGCGCCGCCGGGTAGTGAGACCGATGCGTTGGGTCGTGTTATTATTCACGACCCGTTCGCTCCGTCCTGAATTGGTGATGGTCTCTCATGCTGTCTGGAAGGATTACAGCCTGTTTCCGTGGTTACTCGGATATCAAGAGGAAATTTGTGAACAGTGGAAGGAAATTATTTCTCATGGTTGCTACGTTTTGTGAAGTTGTATTCTATCTCTAGGACCCATGAATAAGGTACTTAGTTAGCTAAGGTTGAATAAATGAACGCAATTTGCGTGCGGTCTTGTCATGGTTTCGATCTTAATTTAGTGAGGTTTTTTTCTTCGATGTCGTAAAGATCGGGATATCATATCCAAGTTCACTATAGCTAGATAGTGAACAGAGTAGACGTAAATAAAATCCCTACTGCAGTCCGAATACATGAGCCCCCATATCCGCCCTATGTGAAGTCAGAATATGTCCTCGGGCTCCGAATCTGATTATACCCCATGTGCTAAAGCAGACCCATCTGGCTAAGGTATTAATAATAATAAATACAGTGCTCCTCCTTCCACCCCACCGCTTGCCCTCTGTGCCCTCGACCACCCCTCTCCTTCCCACACGGGCTACCCACAACCCCATAAAACCCACTCGGGACCAAGACCCTTGCCCATTGACGTTGAGCACACTTACCCGGAACACTGCATGCTACACCTCCTATCTGGCCACATTGGCACAGCCATTCCTGTTTTGGTAAGGACTGAGTCTTGGCTTCTCACTCGCAGGCGATTAGTGGCGCGGCGAAAGTGGCTGGTGTCACTTCCGTAATTGAGGCAGCGTCTTTGTGGGGAGGTAGGAAGATTTTGTAATACGCCTAGGTCTATGAAGATGGGGTAGTACTATAAGGGGATCCGGTATACTGTGGTAAAGGTGGTAATTAAGTTGGGATTGGGGGGTGGGGGGCGGGGTTGAGTAGTGTGTAGTTTTGCTAGCTTAGTTTTTTCTATGCGGATATCGGTATAGAGACCGATATGTTATAACTCGCTGTGCTTTAAGGTAGGCAGGTTTGGAAGATGTTACGAATGAAAGTATGCCATATATAATGAGAGCACCGAGAAAGAAACTCAGTCGGTCAGACTTACCTATATATCTAGCATGGCAGAGTACATTTAAGAAGAAATAAACAACCTCCCTCAATTCTCTCGTTAGCCTTCTATCCCTACTCAACTCGTGTTAAGTACTCGTCGCCCGGCCCCACAAACAACATGAATGCCGAATAAAACCTTCCGTTGTTCTTCAAGACTGTCGACTGACGTTGAACATACTTACCCGGCACACTTTGCGCCTCGTCACTAGTGGTACGGCCACCAACTTCCCTAGTTAGGAAATCTATCACTGGGAAGGCTGGATCATGAGGTGTCACTCGCGCTTGCATCGTGGCGCAGTGGGACAGTGGTGTAACGTGAATAGGTTGATTACTCATGTTGAGGGCGGGACTTGATTTGATGCTTCGACGCTCACTGGTAGGGATGTGGACGATAAGGCGCTGGGAACCAAGTACACATAGAGCAGAATGAGCAGCAGTAGGGCCTCTATTGACTGCCGTCCTCAAGTCAGTACGACTTGAAGCAGACTAGGAGGTTGAGGTATCAAGGCGGCTTTATTCTGCTGTTCCTCCATAAAGCAATGACTTCCAAACAGCCTATAGGAATATGTGGACGGGTTCATTCAATGGTGGTGTTTCTTCAATGTGCGCTAGCCCAAAGCTGGTTTAGCGCGCTCCCTATGTGAAATTAATTCTCTTGAGTGATGATGGATAGTGTTTGGGGAAATAGCCAGTGCTAAGCGATAATTCTGTAGCGTTTAAACTGATGATATTGTAAACCGGATTCCCTTGACTTGATGGTTGATGATACCCTCAAGTCTTCGAAGAATCAAGCCCTATTTATACATGTTGGAACCTATGCCAAGGCCCGCTTTCTAATACTAACTGACACAACGATAATAGAATAAGATAATGCTCCCGAAGATAACCCAGATAGAAAAGCGCCCCCGCATAGTTCCGTCCTCCATTCTAATTCCGACACGTAACCATGAACCTTGCAATTACCAGTCATCGGGCTGTACCATACTATTATCCTAGACCTACTTCCCTAAGTAGAACAGCCTACAGCCGTAAGCCCCGCTTCCTACTCTATTCCGGGTGAGGCACCCAATAGTAAGCGTGCCGTCATAATAGTATAACACTAGTGTGGTAACACCGCGTGCTCCCACACTACCCGATACCTTTCTATGCTTGTCCTTTCGTTACCCGACCGTCCTTGCATCACAACCCGTCACTCGTATTCCTCATTGTCCTAAGCCTCTTAGAACAGTGCTCCGTAGTTCCTGTAACACTACTCCCCCTTCCTAGACGTCGCCCTCGACCGTTAAAACCCTTCTATGATAAAAACCCTGTGGGAAAAGTCATAGAGTAGGGAAAGGTATCGAGCTTAGTCTCGCCTGTTCCGTTGTCGTTTATGAGCCCGGTCATTATCGATCGCTGGGCCTCGACTTCGCGTATGGGGTCGTATGTTCGAGGTTGGCTGGAAATTCTCGTCTGCCAATGCCTCCTGTGGCTCGGGTGTTGCCAGTCGCTTTCGTGTATTTTGTTTTCTGGTGGGATCCGGGTCCTCACGATAGGGTCGCAGCAGCATCTCGTGAAAGACGTCGTGAACCTTCCATTCTACCGGAAGTTCGAGACGGTAAGCCCGATTGCCCACCACTGCTGAAACTGTAAATGGCCCTGTGAACTTGTCCGACCACTTGGAGTATCCTCCTAGGTTCCGAGTGTCCAGCAAGACTTTCTGATCGATAGTGAACCGCTGTACTGCCGGTCCTGGCTTTGACGCCATCCTGTCGAAGGTCTTCTGTAGCGTGTCTCTCGCTAACTCATGAGCCGTGATGATCTCATCCAAGTAGTTGTTCCCGTTGGCGTCTAATCGTTCGATCTCTGCATCCGTAGGCCAATCCGTTCGAGGGTGGAAGCCATAATTGCAGTAGAACGGCGATTGACCCGTCGACGTATGCTTCGCATTGTTGTAGGCGTATTCACAGATAGGTAACAGGTCCTTCCATTTCTTGCCTGTTCCTGCCGTATATGCCCGAATATAACCTTCCATGTGTTGGTTGGTCCGCTCTGTTTGGCCGTCGGTTTGGGGGTGGAATGAGGTGGAGAGTCTTCTACGAATCCCCAGTCTGTCCGTAATTGCCGCCCAGAATGCTGACACGAACTGCGTTCCTCTGTCTGAGACGATGCTCCTAGGAAGTCCGTGGAAACGCCAGATGTCTTTGACGAATGCGTTGGCGGTTTGTTCCGCGTTGATTCCCGTCATTGGAATGAAGTGAGCCATCTTCGTAAAACGGTCCACGACTACCAATACGTTGCGGAATCCTGATTTCTCCTTAGGCATTTCTACTACGAAATCCATCGAGATATCAGTCCAAGGTGTGGTGGCTAACTCTAGGGGTTGAGGGAGTGACAAGTGTCTCCGACGTTGCTTGGCTCTCTGGCATACATCGCAAGTCTTGACGAAGTTGGCTACATCCGTGGACATTCCTGGCCACCAGTAGTTCCTATCAATCAACTCGAGGGTTTTATCCCTTCCTAGATGCCCCGCTACGGGTCGATCATGATGTTCCTCAATGACCTGCTTGACTGCATAGCCCGGTACTACCCATCGACCATCGTGGGTGGGGTCATTTGAATCGGGACTCCATTCAGCGGCAGGCTCTACCTTTACGATAGCGGCCTCCGGTGGTCCGAAGATCTCAAGGTTTGAGTCAGGGAGGTGTTCATCCGGAACCATCCTCCGAACCCATCGTCTTTCCTGTTCATACCAACCCTGTAGTGGCTGAGGCAGCTCTACGCTCGGTATGTCGTACCACTGATCCAACTGATTCCATTCCTCTTCGGGGTTGCCAATCACTTCGGACCCAGTTTCTACGCTGGTCCGTGATTTTCTGACAAACTGTTCTGCGCTGAGTAGCTGTTTTACGGGCTGCTCACGCATTACTCCCCCTTCCATTGCGAACTCCGGACGCCTTGTAAGTGCATCTGGCTTGCCGTTCTTTTCGCCTGGTCGGTAATGGATCTTGAAGCGAAAAGGTGCTATCTTCTCGGCCCATCTGGCTTGTCTTCTCGACAACTTCTTGGTCGTTGTGAAATACTGCAGGTTTTGGTGATCCGAATGTATCTGGATAGGGATGTCCGTCCCTTCCAGCCAATGTCTCCAAGTCAAGAGAGCAGAAACTATTGCGAGCATCTCCTTGTTGTAGATCTCATAGTTAACCTCTGCCTCGTTGAACTTGCGAGAGTGGTAAGCTACCGGATGTAGGATACCGTCCTCGAACATCTGAGAGAGTACTGCGGCCTCAGCCCAGTCACTCGCATCAGTTTCCACGATTGCTTCGCGGTGTTCGTCATAGTGTCGGAGTATTGGAGCAGACGTAAATCTCCTCTTGAGCTCGTCGAACGCATCTTGCTGTTCCCTGCCCCATTTCCATACGGAGCCTTTCTTCAGGAGATCGGTCATGGGTCTGCAAACCTCAGAGTATCGGTGGATGAACCGTCTTAGGAAATTGGCGAATCCGAGGAAGCACTGAAGTTCCTTGACTTTGGTTGGGGCTAACCAGCCTTCGATCGCCTGAACCTTCTTGGGTGATACTCGGTTCCCTTTTCCTGATAGTATGAATCCCAGGAATTCTACCTCCTGTTGATACCATTCCGTTTTCTCGAGGTTTCCGTATAGATGGTGTCGTCGCAGTCGCTCCAAAACTTCTCGTACAAGAGTCGTATGCTCTTCTCTAGTCTTTGAATACATTAAGATGTCATCCAGGTAGACTACTACGCCTTGATCTAGAAGATCCTTGAATATGGTATTGACCATGACCTGAAACGACGCAGGAGCATTGGTCAAGCCAAAAGGCATTACCCTATATTCGAAAAGGCCGTATTTCGTTCGGAAAGCGGTTTTCCATTCTTCGCCCTTAGCAATCCTAATCAGATTATAGCCATTTTTCAGGTCTATCTTCGTGAAGTATAGTGCTCCTTTCGTTGCGTCGGCCAGCTCGTTCATGAGTGGCAGTGGATAACGGTTCTTGATTGTGATTCCATTCAAACCACGAAAGTCGACACATAACCGAAGCTTACCATTAGCTTTCGGAACGAACAGGACGGGTGCCGCTGCTGGGCTGGTGGAGGGGACTACTTTGCCGGAGGGCAAGTTCTCGTCCAAATACTCCCGGAGTGCCTTGTCTTCAGGTGGGGAGAGCGAATAGATCGGTCCCCACGGCGGCTGCTTTCCTTCCATAAGAGGAATGGTATGATCCCATTCAGAGTGGTCAGGTAGTCGAGCGGCTCCTTCCTTGGAGAACACGTCGGCGTATTCCTGAAACTCCACCGGTATAGCACTAACGAGAGCCTCGTTTACCGATGCTCTTGCCCAAAAGGGGTGTTGCTCGATCGTCATCTGCTTCTTGGGTGACGCCCTCAACAGCCTGATGACCAGCTCTTCTGGGTCTTGATCGTATATGTCCTCGACTGATACGAAGCACCCATTGATTATACAGTTGTTGCTATGGAAGCTAACACTGTTGCGTCCCCAATGGATGGTTGGTTGATGCTCCTTGAGCCATCGATGTGGTATGACGAGGTCCTCTCCTGCAAACGAGCCAACCTGACAGGTGATAGCCCTGTCTAGATGGTTGCCGATGCGGAGGGTGAGAGGTTGAGTGATGTGGGTGCCGGAGTTGGGCATAGGGGTACCATCGGCCTGTCTGATGATGAGGGGCTTTGGTCGAGGTTGAGTGGGTATTTTCGCACGGTGGATACAGTCCCAGGACATGATCCAGTCCTCTGTGCCACTGTCTAAGAGTGCATTGACTGTCGCGACATGTTTGGTGCTAGTTGCGGGGTGGTCCCACGAGATCTCGATCTCGAGACGAGTTTCTTGTGTGTTGGAAGACATGTTTGTTTGTTGGTTTGGTAAAGGTTGCTTATTGGTTTCTTGGATGTCGGTTTCGATGATTTTTTCTTCGTTGAGCGCGGGGTGAGGGGGTTTATATAGAGAGTTCGAGTGTTTGATGAAGATCATGGTACAACACTTACGCACCAGGCGTTTCGGGGTGTAACCCCATCCTCAGAGTGTGTGTAAAGAGAATTGAATTTTCGCGCGTATAACAAAACAAATATGGAAAATCTCGTGGTCAACCCATAAAAATAACCGTAATACATAAACCCTTGTTTCCATAACCCAAAGTAGAAAGAAACCCGTAACGCAACATGAGATACCGAAAAATAGAAATACCCAATCAATTTTGATCCTCCAAAGTTGTAATCCTTGCCCTAAATGCCTCATTCTGGGGGCCCAATTTCCGCTTCTTTTCACCCTCCCTTCCGTGGTCCTTTCCTCCGGAAGGATACCGTTTCCTCTTCAGGTCGGTTAACCTGACCTTACTCGTCGCCACGCAATCTTTCGCGAAGTGGTTATCTCTACCACAACGGAAACACTTTCCTTCCTTTTGCCACTTCTCCTTTTCGTCCTTGGTGACACCTAAGTCATCCGAGGCCTTGGAGTTGTGCGCTGGCGCGGAGAAAGTTTTCCGAGGTGCGGGGTTGCGCGATTTTCGCCGTTCCGACTTCTCCTCACGAGGTTTCACGACATCCTTGCCACGTAAGATCTCCTTCCGGGCCTTCACCTCGTGATCCTTACGTCCGACCTTCCTAACCCAGGCTAGCCATTCCGCGAAATCTTCTGGTTCCTCGATTGCATTCGAGAGGCGTTGTTCCAGCGAGGAGTTTATTCCTGTTAGGATCATGGATTTCATTACGATGGGTCCGACCTTCGCGTCCCATTCCAGATTCTGCATCTCGTTGATGTAGTCATCGATCATGCCAGTTTGACGGAGCTTATCCATCTTTTGCTTGGCCTGTTCCTGACTGGTCCGATTGCCGTATTGAATCCGTAATTCGTTTTTGAAATTCTCCCATGTCCCGATGCTGGGGTCAACTGATAGTCGTTCCACGAAGTTTCGCCAGAATTTGGCCGCACTTCCGGTAAGTTCCAGGGATGCCCACAGGATTTTGGTCTGGTCGTCCCACCGGACTTTCCTCTGAAGTTCAATTAAGACTTCCATTTGGTCGATCCAGTGCCGTACGTCTTCGTCGGCTTTTCCGGAGAAGGGGATTTTTGCCTGTTTTGGCGTATCACCCAGGGTGGCGCGAGAGGGGTGCATGAGGTCTACCTCTTGCTGCCTGTTACGGCGTCTTCGCTCCTCCCGTTTTCTCTGCCTTCGTTCGCGTGCTCGACGATCGTCCTCTGAATCGGAGGAGCTGGATGAGTCTGAGGGGGATGGGTCTCGTGGTCTTGCACGGTTTCCGCCGTTGCCGTTGTTGCCATTGCCTCCTCTGCCTCCCTGTTCACTTCGTTGGCTTTCTCTTGCCTCAGAGCGAGGGGGTATGGGGGGCTGGCTCCCTGGTCCTTCCGGTCTCTCTCCGGAATTGCTGGGGGGTTTGGTGGAGGTGGTGGGGGTACTATGCCTCCGCCTCCTGAGCCTTCGGGGGCTGCTGCCGTTCTATTGGCTGCTACCCGCATCTGCTCGATTATTTCCTCCAGGTTCTTCTTCGTTCCTGCGAACTGGTCTTCCATCGCAGCTTGTCTGTCCCGTTCCATCCTCTCGAGGGCAGCCATAACCTCCGCGGGTATCTGTACAGGGCCATCCTTCGGGAGTTGCTGAACGAAGTTGGTCAGCGCATTTATGTGCTGATCCTATCGCTCCTGCCTTTCCTGATGCGCCCTAGTAGCTTCCACGATCTGCCCAAGGACTTGGCCGAGGTTGCTGGTAGCGGCGGTGGATTCCGCTCGTAGCTGAGCCATGACCTGGGTGAGCTGATTGTCGCGTTCGGCTCTGTCCCCAGCGAACTTGGCGTGGAGGTCTTCGACGATCTTGTTGGTATACTCCTGCTGCTGCCGGGTGAGTTCCCTGAGTATGGGGATATCCCGCACGTGCATGCTGAGTTCCTCGATACCTCGGCTGAGCTGCTGCACCACTGGGGCCCCTTGCCGCTGGACTTCTTGCCCAATGAGGTCGCCGAAAGGATTCTCCACCCGCCGTTCCTCTACGTCCATGTTGGTATCCTCGTCGTCATCCATTACCCGAGGCACCGAGGGCCTCTGAGTAGAGGATCTCTCTCTGATGGGGGTGACGTATGGGGAGAACTCCCTGTGGTCTGCCTGCCGCCTCCTCGCCTGCCCATATGATTCTTCCTGCCTCGTCGATCCGAAGAGGGAGCCTATCGGCACATCTCTCTCTTTCCTGTGGCGCCTCTTGGCCTGGGTTTCCAATATACCTCGATCTCTCAAGGCGATTGAGCTCTCCATGTTGTAGTCTTCCTCCGACCGTTGCTGATGAGCCCTTGACATTGCTAAGCTGCTCGAGTTTGAGCTGTGGTTGTCTTCTGCACCAAGGTTGAGCAATGAACCAGGGGGCTGGGTGGGCAAGTCCGAAAGACCGCTGCGAGAGAGTGATCTTGATTGGGAAGAGTTCTGGATAGTTGAGGATTTCGGGGTCGTGTTCCTCGAAGGTAGCGGTGGTCCCTGCTTCTGCGAAGAAACCTGTGTAGTGGAGGTATCCGCAGTATAGATGTTCGGCGCTTCCTCTTCGAACGATGAAGGATGTAGCGCAAAGGTAGTTATCGATGGCTGCTGTTGCTACTCGGGGGTGCATATAGTACTTTGGTCCTTCTAATAGACTAAGCGCTTATTCTTCTACTGAGAGCACAGTGACTATCCGCCACTAAGCAAAATACTCAGAGTATTGGTTTAAGCGAGTAGCTGTCTTATCGAGACTTCTGGTAGTGTATGCGATAGTTTAAAGAGTAAAAGTTAGGGATAAGGTACAATATAGTGTTTGGGGAAATAGCCAGTGCTAAGCGATAATTCTGTAGCGTTTAAACTGATGATATTGTAAACCGGATTCCCTTGACTTGATGGTTGATGATACCCTCAAGTCTTCGAAGAATCAAGCCCTATTTATACATGTTGGAACCTATGCCAAGGCCCGCTTTCTAATACTAACTGACACAACGATAATAGAATAAGATAATGCTCCCGAAGATAACCCAGATAGAAAAGCGCCCCCGCATAGTTCCGTCCTCCATTCTAATTCCGACACGTAACCATGAACCTTGCAATTACCAGTCATCGGGCTGTACCATACTATTATCCTAGACCTACTTCCCTAAGTAGAACAGCCTACAGCCGTAAGCCCTGCTTCCTACTCTATTCCGGGTGAGGCACCCAATAGTAAGCGTGCCGTCATAATAGTATAACACTAGTGTGGTAACACCGCGTGCTCCCACACTACCCGATACCTTTCTATGCTTGTCCTTTCGTTACCCGACCGTCCTTGCATCACAACCCGTCACTCGTATTCCTCATTGTCCTAAGCCTCTTAGAACAGTGCTCCGTAGTTCCTGTAACAGATAGAATTAGAAAATATTACTGGCGCCACATTTGACATTCATGCTGCTTCTGACGGCGGATAATAGGTGTAATAGAAACCTAGTAGAACGTAAGAGGTGTTGAATTAGGTGTGATATGATGAATGTCCAGTGTCCAGCTACAAAGCTTAATTGAAAACATGACTTCTAGCAGCCATAGTGGACATAGGCAGCCAACCAAGCCCGCGTCCCACCTCCACCGCCAGCCTGCTATGGACAATCTTCAACCCAAGGGGTCTCGCTCGGCCGGGGAACCAATTGCCAGCCATTATTGGTTTTACACCCACCACAACTCACTTACCTTCGCCACAAATCCTCCTCTCCCAGTTCCTTCCTCTCTTCTCCATCACAAGCCTTTCTTCTCTGCTCTCAGAACCAACTTCGTAACAAATATCATCACAACGAAACTTGTTTCATCACCAACTACAAAGTAGAAACAGCTATGCCTTACTCGAACCGTGGACACCACTCTCGTGGTAAATAACTCTCACTCTCACTCTTCCTCTTCTCTTCTTTTATTAAATGTCCGCATACTAACATCCCCCTCCACAGCACACCGCCACCCCGCCCGCTCCATCTTCCGCAGCACCCCCAGCAGGGACACCCCCCCGGTCATCATGCCCGAGTTCCGCCGCATAAGCTCCATCACCCCCGCCCTCACCGCGCAGGGCACTGCCTCAGAGCACCCCCTCACCCGCCGCGCCCTCCACGAGCTACAGCAAGCTCTCACCGGTCCACGCCTCCTCCCGGGCGTGCAGCCGCGGTATATCCTGCCTAGTATGCACCGTGACATTGACTACCCCGACACCGACACGCAGCAGCAGCCATCGGGATCGGGCCTGATCTCTTCACGCACGGTCATCCACCCGTTCGCACCGTTCCAGAATGTTGAGACTGAATTCAATGTCCGCGATTTTGGCCAGGCCACGGTCCGCCACATTGCGCCGGATACGATGGTGCGTACTTATGAGCCTGGCCCAGGTACTAGCGCTGCTATGAACCGTATGTTCACCGCCTCCCTTTCTCCATCCTGCTGGCGTCGAATCGTGGAAAACAGACTGACTGACATGACACGAAACAGGCATCAACCCCAACCGCGCTATGTCTACAACACCAATGGACCCCACCGCCACCGCCAGCAACGAAGACGGCGACGGCGTGGGTAACCACGACGACGACAGAGACTCCCAAGCCGACACCGTCTCCAACCACTCCACCACCTCCACGCTCTCCACCATCCCCGACCCAGACCCCGTCTTCCCCACTCACACCGAAGCCTCCTTCTCCCCATCCGACGCCTCCGACTGCAGCGCCGAGGACCCAGAAGTGTGCCAGGTGTGCACAAGACGTAAGGCGATCGTGCGCTTCGTGGGCTGCACGCATGGGCTCTGTGTCAGCTGCATGAAGGGCACGTGGTGGGGGCGGATTAATCGCGAGAGACACTGGCCGACGATTGTGCCGTGTGGGCTGTGTAGAGCGGAGATTGGACGGGTGTGGGTGAGGGGGGAAGGAAGAGGGGGGCCGTGTCCGGTGTTGACGGTGTTGGAGTTTATGGTTCAGAGGAGTGTGAGTGTGAGGGGGAAGTTGAGGTGGGAGGAGATTGATAGGGTGAGGCCTGTGGAGATACAGCCGTGGTTGATCTACAAGTAAGTCTTTTCTTTGTGTCTTGGATTTGGGTGGTGGGAGTTGTGGGTGGTTGCTGATTGGTGGGGTTGGATAGGCATCGTGAGATCTTCTTGCAGCATCTATTTCCTAGGCAAGCTCCTACTACGTCAGATAGTGACAGTGTGAGAGCCGTTCGTAGGGTAAGATCTAATCCTTCTTTCTTTCCCTGTGATCACATAGAGTACATATATAGATTGAGTTATCCTAACGCATCCACTTCACTCTAGGCCTAAACACACATCACATACCAGCACACACACACATAAACACACGCATGGAACGCAGGCAATAACAACAAATATCATCATATCGAAAGATTTAGCTGGCGGCTTCACATTTGATCTTCTTCTGTTTGGGTTCTGCGATTACTATTGGGTTTTCGAGGCGTTGAGTCTGGTTTACGGTTTTAGAGGTTCAGGGTGTTAAGGGTCCTGTGTCTAGGGTTTTAAGCGTTTTAAGAGATTTCTTTTGTAGTGTTGGGGTTAGGGAATATCAAATACCAGTCTTTTCTTTTTTAAATAGTGAGGTGCTGTCTTACGTGTGAATATGTAAATTTATAAATGTCCTGCGTTTCTTGTAGTCATTCGACGTTTTTTCTTGGAATCTATGGGAGAGAGACCACCGCAGTCGTCGGATGGTGAGTTTGACGTTTAGATATGTGAGTCATAGGGCTACATCATAGAATCGTAGGCCCGAAGCAGATCGTTGATAGTATACATTGGTCTTGTGAGACGATTAAAAAAAAATTAGAAGCAAATGTTCGAGGCGGTAGTGTGTCAATAGAATAATCATCATTATCATCAGTGGTGCCTAGACTATTATATGCCGATTTCTATCACGGTGCCGGTGGTTATGTTGTTTCAATGAAGTCCACATCTGACAACCTTTCGATTTTGTTTCGTCTCACGCGAGATTTCCCACACCTCGGGCAGGACCGAGTCTTCGATTTTACAACCAACATCTGTGTATTCCTGGATAATAGCGAGGGGGTACAACTAAGTAAATAAACCCACCGAATCATCGCTCTTGCACAATGGTGCCCAGTGTCGTTAACACCATAAGGATTTAATATATGCGCATTAACATGGATTATGAAGAAAGAAGTGATAAACTATACAGAGGCACAGCCACATGCAACAATTATTTGGTTAATAATTCACTCTATTCAAGTTATAGGATTGAGGACACATTTCTGGTGGGGTCACGAGAACAAACGGCATCGTGTCTTTTCCAGAAGAACAGATGGGAAAGTTGAAGTTCAACTTGAGGTCAGCCCAACCTTAGTCAAAAGAAAACAAGTTACAACCGTTGGAAAAACTGGGATTATCACTGAGGGTGACAACAAATCCCGGGACAATGGCGAATAGTTACAAGGAGGTACCATATCGTCGTTCTTATATTTATACAACTGTTATCCAATGTCGTCCGTATCGTGAGGATTTATGGGCGTTGACAGGGATCACGAAGGAACGAGTGCTAAGCTGTGCAGAAGGGCGCCAACTTGCAGTGATAGGTCCGTTAATAATTCATTGATTGGACAATTGCATGAATGTCGTAGGGCTGAAGACACGTTTTCATTGTGCTCAAGAGGACAAATGGGATTATATCTTTGCCAAGAAGGATATATCTCTAAGGCTGAGGATGAGGCTGCTGCGGCACCGAGTGCCAAGGCTAAGGACGGGCTTACCGCCGGGTTCTTGGCATGGTCCCTTGGTGGCGGGGTGTCGTTTGCCGTCCGCGCGATTCCAGTGTCCCCCCCGCAGTCACCCGCTGAAAACGGCAGCCAATAGAAGTCGATGGCAATCAACGGAACTTAGCGGCGCTTAACCACGCCGAGCTGCCCAGCGCGAGGGTTCTACAGCCACCCATCAGCCACCCGTGACACGAAAGGACATGGAGCCTTGGCGAAGACCTCGGAGATTAAGGAACGTCCTCCATACACATCTATGTTGTCTACTTATTCCTAGGTGCGGGCATGAATAAACTTTGTAATACCACGTTTCTCTTGAGTGATTAGCCGATCTGAGCTGTATTCAAATTTGTAATTGATGATAGAGGTATATTCGCCTTTGGTTTAATTATACGTGTCATGCAGTAATTGAGAACACATCGCGCGTGGCATGCTGACTGCACAGAACGGACAGGGATTACGAGATACGAGTGAGATGTGGTGAGCGAGTGATAGGCTGTGAAGATTGACCACCGTTGATAATTCTCAACACAGAAAACTAAGTTAGGCGTTAGAGGGGGAGATATCGTGACCTTCCTTACACAGGGGACATGTTGATATACAGGCCACCACATCATCCACCGATCCCCTTTTTGATATATCTAATACTGGAATTACATATCTCTACCACGGATAGCAATAATATCACGTAAAGAGGAACGAGTGAAGGTTCTTCATTTTCCAAGTGAAATCGCGCATCTAGATTACAAAGCTATAATGGTGTGGGTTCGAGAGAGTCGTCTTGTATGTTTCCCCAAACTTCCATATCAAACACGCCCGCATCTAAATTACAAAGGTAGAGGCGAGGGTTTGAGGGAGTCGTCTTGGATGTCTCTGCGAGCTTCCATTAGTAGCCGGCGGCAGAATTAGCTATTGAGGTTTGGGGGGCTCAATAGCTAATTTGCCTTGCCCAGACCGAAACCCTAATTTCGCCGACAATATATATCATAATCGTTTCCACCAACTATGATCCACTCTTCCTTCTACTCATCATCATCATCATCAGTCTTCATCCTCCATACAAACAAAAACCACTTCTTTTTTAAAGAAACGAATAGACTTTATTCTTATCATCATGGATTATCGTTCTACTTCTCACTCCCTGCGTGAGCTTCCACTCGAAGAAAACACCCCCGAACTTGAGGCTCAGACCCTCAGTTCCCTCACCACGCATGGACAGGCCATCCAAGTCACAGTCGGATTGACAACAAATACCCCCACGACTGTCGACCAAGACATTGCGCACGCAACAAATACCCCCTCAGCGGATGCTCTTTATGGCCCCGAAATAACCACTTCCTATGGTCATTACATGACCATCGACGATGGTGCAGGTCACTCAATACCCGTCCCGTTCTCCAACCATTATCATTATGGCGGCGGAGACGATGAGAGTGACGACGACGACTACCTCCCAGATTACGATGACAATAGCGACTCCGCCGAGGACGACTCCGAGGAAGTCACACGTCAAACCCCCTCTTCGCAGCATTCTCACAATACCCAAATGACTGCACATGATGAACTCGAGTTCCAGAACAGAGTCTACGGATACAATCATTCCGAAGGATCAACCAATCTCAACTTGATCCAGATCTGCACCATCTGTGGTCAGATCAACACCAGCGACGGAACTCGAACCAATAACGATCACGCTCCCGGATCGTGTACGGCGCCTACCATGGCCGTCGTACAAGCTGAAGACCAATATGATGATGTCTTGATGGAGGACGCAGAATTCCTTACCCTCATTGACGATGACGACTACAACGAGTCGGGCGACAAATCCGAGAAGTCCGATGACGCAGACGAAGCAGACTTTATGTGCACCATATGCTCTCGCCGCATTGCAAACATCTGCTTCACCCCTTGCAGCCATTTCTTTTGCACCTCCTGTGCACTGGGCATTTGGTGGAGCACAGTTGGAAACCAACACCATTGGCCGACATCGATTCCGTGCCCCCTCTGCCGTGGTGACGTGGAGGACGTCATCGATGAGGGGGGAGTGGTGGTCGACCTTTTGTGGTGGGTTTTGCTCATCAGTCCGAGGGCGCAAGAGAGAGCTTTGGCGGAGGATGTGACTATGATCATCGGAGCGCATGCAGTTGCGTTGGTTACAAACCTGTAGGTTTTTATCCTTCCAAATGAGCTATTTGATATCGATTACGAGCATTGAACTAACTGATTTTTAAGCGTCCAATTCACGGCGCTTATGCAGATGTGATCGCATCCTCCTCCGGCTTGGTTAAGAGAGAGCCAGGTTTTATTATGAGGGGTAATCAACATTCCACTGGTTGTTTCAAAATGGTGAGACATTAATACTAATTGATATTATTATTCTAGGTTTATTGTAAGAGGGGACGAGAGCAGTTTTGTATGCTTTCTAGTTTTTGAAGGAAATTGGTGCTCAACGTGGCTCTTACTGTTCAGAAAGGTAAATATTCATCTAATCATTCCTAATCACAAATAACGATTAATACTAACTCATATATTATAGGCTGTCTTTGCCCGGACAAGAGCTTTTGGGACTTTGGAGTTGTGTGTACGTTTTGATGGAATACTGGATGGGAAGGAGTTTGGAAACAAAAAATCATTTGGGAAATGTATTACTTGCAAATATCATACCTTACGCTCTATGTGGCGGGAAAAACACCAGAGTGGTCAAGGTCTGGAATACTGCATTAAAACAATGAACAAAATGATTTGAGGAATGATTCTGTGCAGGCGCGTTTGCGCTCAACGTGACCAAAACAAAACAATACTAAACGCGAAATTATAACACTTTGCTCTCCACGTGCATGACCACAACAAAAAAAAAGTCCTAAGCTAATAGGGAAATTGTGGTACTTTGCGCTCTAAGTGATTACAAAAAAAACGGAAAACTAACAGGGAAATTGTGGTACCAGGCGCGATTTTCTTTTAGGATATGTCGAGCTGGGTGGTTGTTCGATGAAGGAGTGATGTTGTTGTTGAGTTCGGTAACTTCCATAACGGAGTCGCAAATATTAATGCAGCAAGGATTAGGGATTACATGGATTAGGTATCGGTAACTGAACGGAGGTATGGTGCGAGAAGGCATGGGGGTGGGTGTGTCAACTTCAGAGGAACCTTTTTTGTATGAGAAGTAGAGAAAATTCCACCGTTGGGCTAGGCGCTAGTACCATTATGGGAGCAGATCTCCCAATTTCTATAGATTGATTGGCTGCAAACGCCGAAGTTTACACACCTACCCTCCATAGCTTCTCGAGCCATAGTTGTTTATTAGATCATGTAATCTGACATCATAACAGATCTTTGAATAGAAAGGACATGGGTCAACACTGAGCGACGGCAGGCTAACTAGCAAAAGCACTTTGTTTACTTTTCACTGAGAATAAAGGAGCTCTTCGCCATCGGTTGAGTTTTTGATGAATAGGAGAGTAAAAGTAAAATTTGCGGGGTTTATTTTTATCGGTAATCATGATTTCCAAAGACTCATTCCTATTCTTAATTTGTAGTATTACAGTGATCTATGTCGCAAACTTGTACATGAATAGCTAGAACTCTGATAGAAATGATGAAACACTCCATTGTAAACTCCTACACTGCTCGCCAAAAATACCCACGCCATACCCCTAGACTAGTAGCTGATCCAAAGTAACAGTAACTCCATATCAAGACATGAAAACCAAGACATAGCATAGATATAAAAGTGGTGGCTTTAATGCTTCGCGTCATGGAGATTGTTCTCGTTGCTAATGCCATAATGAATTAAATGTTAGTAATAGATTTGACTTAGGTAAGATAGTTCAAGCGCAATAAATACCGTTCAAGGTCATACTCAAGACGATCTTCATCATCGTCCTCCGGGCTGTCATCAGCTTTCGAAGCACCCGAGGCAGAATGGGCGTTATGACCGGGTCCAGCCACTTGACGACGTCTAGGTATAAGGTAAACCGAATCAGTTTCCGCGCATGTAAATAACTCGTCCGACATTTGGACTTACTTTGTAGGAGATGTGACCATCCAACGACGGGTAGTAATGGCGCACGAGGGCCTCGCAGCTTCAAGGGCTGTTGAATCAAGACGGATAGTATCTACTCTACGGTCCCTTACGCGGTTGAAAGGCCGCGACCTGTTTGCAGTTCCTTTGCTACGACGTGTTCTGGTCGGTGAGGACTCGGTTCTAGAAACAACCGCAGCGCCCCGCTGAATGAGGCTATAGATTATCAATCTGTTAGTATCGATTAAGTAAATAGAGAAACTTAGGAACAAAGGGCATACATGTCGGTGCTAGAAATGTGGCTAAACCAGTGCGGAGTTGGAGTGTAGTCAGCAGGCTGGTGAGCAGTGTGGTGGATTAAGGTTTGAACACGATTCGCTAGAACAGGAGAGCTTCTAGGTTCCTCCTTGATGAATTTCCACGTAGGGCTTCTAGGTTCCCCCTTGATGGCTTTCGCAGCGGAGCTTCTAGCGTCTTTATTGTGTGAACGCATGTCGGCGCCAGTAAGGTGTCCTTGGATTCGTGGTTTAAAGTCCGAAGATCCAGCGCGGGAGTTGCGACGACCTCGAGTGATCGAGGGTGAAAGCTCGGCTGTGTCGACAGAGTCACAGTGATGATGTATGATGGTAGTGTGATTGTTGGTAATGGAACCAGTGGAAACAGCTGAAAGTTGAGCAGGACGAGGTGCCATCCAGGAACCAGGGCCAGGGGCTTCGAAGCCTGCATGCAAGGATTAGCGGTTTGATAGAGTTAGTGGCAGGCTACAGTTCCATCAACTTACGGAACAACTCTTCATCGGTCATACGACTTCGCTTCCGCTCTTCAGGTTCACAAGCGTGTGGAATATCTAAATCCATCCTGGCGCTATCTCTAAATGCTTCCGAAGTGCTTTCTACAGATGGTCCATCCTGAGAGCTTTCAGGTGCTTCCTGCACGTTTTTCTGCTCTTCGAAAGTGCAAGGCTCAACGGAGGTCAGACGATCATCATCACGCATGCTCATAGAATCATCTGTCAGCGTTGGCGACACATAAGCTTCACCCCCAGCAAGTAAGTCAGAGAAACAACCCTCAGGGCAGCACTGCAGAGCTTTCGACTCTTTGGATACGTTAACATTGAAGGGTTAGATCAAAGTGGATCAAGCATCTCGCAATGTGACCTACCGGAACTTTCAGCAACAGTAGTCGGCCCTTGACTTAAGCTTAGGGAGATTGCTCCAGGATGATCATCATCACGTATGCTCACAGGGTCGTCTCTCAGTGTTGGCAATACATCACCCTGAGTCTCCACAAGCCAGTCTGAGAAATAGCGTTGGACGCGCGGAGCCTCGGATACTTGGACACAATCAGTATGAAGCGCTTCCAGGAAAGAGTGATGGGGACGTCGAAATAAGGCTTACGAAGTATCTCTTGATCAGCAGTCAATTCCCGATTGAATCCTGAAGAAGCGGCCCCGGGAAAATGATCTTCAGAGTCATGGAGCGATCTTCCAGATGAAATCTGAACGGGATTATTGTCAGGGAACCATTCTCGCAAGGTCGGCGAGGTATCACCCTCCGCTGGAGTAAGCCAACGAGAGCGAACATGTCTATCAGGGGTACGTGGACCTGGTGCGACATCATCTGAATTTGTATCAATATACATAACTGTCAAGTATGGAAGAACATAAGAGGAAGGGGCCGACTGACTCAAGAAGGATTGCTCATTAGGACACTCGTCCTTTATTCCTTCGGGGGTTCGTGTGGCATTTGAAGTCTGCCTCTGGGGACCAACTGTATGGGTTGTATGCGGAACGAAATCGTTAACCCAGCGCAGTCGCCAAGTAGGCGATGTCTCTCCTTCGACTGAGGTGGACCAGGCCGAGGGGAGGGGCAGCGCTCTGTCGGGAGTACAAGAAACACCCAAATCTTCAACACGATTAGTATGCGAAAGGTTTGAGCTAATAATATTACTCCGAGAGTGTAGGGATTATTACCTAGAGACCAGTTGCCCTCAACAGATTCTGGTGTCCACACAGGGGAGTGCTCTCTGGTAGCTGGGGTCTTGGAATGGCGTAAACCAGGGACATAGGTCGTTCCTGGAGAGATGTAATCTCTAATAAAGCCATCCGACAAAGTGGGCGGAGCATCTACCTCAACCTGGGTGAGCCAGCGGGAGAGCTGCCTTGGGTCTCCGAGGGCACGAGACGCTTCATCTTCTTTTACATTGTTAGTACGACGAATGTTGACAAAACGATTGGCAAAGAAAATACATAAACCCACCATCAATCTGTAAAGCCCTCTGGGCGTGCTCCCTGAAGGTGGGAGAGTTCGTTCCCGAGCTTGGAGTTTGACTACGAGAACGAGGAACATAGACGGTACCAGGAGAAAGATAGTCTCTAATAAAGCCCTCCGACAAAGTGGGTGAGGCATTTGCTCCGACAGGAGTGAGACAGCGGAAAGGACGTCGGTGAGGTGTGAGAGGATTGCTATGACCTTGCGACAAAACCGGTGAGTAATCAAAATAATCTTGGAAATAGAAGAATTATTTACCTGCGACCTTCACCCCCGCAGTCACGTCACAAGCAGCGTCGTGATTGACAGAAAACATTTTGTGTGTACAAGGTATAGTAAAAGCGAATAAGAATCGAAGAGTTATGCTCCAATTACCACGCACCAGAGTGTTGTGAGCAAGATTTTGTTGACGAATTGTTGTTACAATCTTGTGGGGTTGTGTTGGTGGGGATATGTTTTCAACGAATGGTTGACTTTTGACATGAACTATAGGTAATCTTCGCAGGTACAATTTAGTACACTGCAACCGCAAACTGAGATTATACACTGGGCCTTGAAGCAATGTGACACCGGCCATTGACCTCCGTCACGTGTTCAGAAAGACTGACAGGTACTGCACAGGATACCATCTGGCGCGCGGGAAACCCACATAAAGTACCAGAGGTTCTGTCAAATAAGCCAATGTCTTTCACGCTGGGGTCTACGGAAAGCAGACGCTTCTCCACCATGAAGGCAAAAACATGCCGGTTTACGTGCCCGATCACGAAACGAAAACAACAGAACTACAAAACACACTCTGAATTTCAACGCAGCTAATCATCTACAATAATCTTTGTTTTAGCATAAGAAATTACTCGCCGCGAAAGCTACTCCGAGGACCATTTATCGGAGGAGCGCGTTGATGCGATCATCCTACTAACGATGAAGTGGGATACCTTGAGCTGGAATATGGCTCATTGGTTTATGAAGATCGAATACTTAGTCGTACAATAACTAACTTTAGTATCGGAAATGTTTTCCGATAGTCGACTGTCAAGAATGGCAATTTTAAACGTCAAATTCGTATTGCTGCCCACCAGGAAGCAACGCCACGACCGGTTTTCTTGCTCTCTCTTCCTTTTCCTTCTCCGACTACGTTTATACCCTCCCCGTCGATAACCTTAATTCTTTTGCTTTTTGTAAATGTTTGGTATCTACGAGCGAGGCATTCGAACACCCTCCGGTCCCAGGTTCGGTGCACACAACTACCTCAAAGTGCTGATATGTACCATACCTGTGAATCTTTGACCCCGTATGCCGAAACATACGCGGAGTAGCGGAATAAGCGTTCTCGGATACAACTACACTCGACTAGATAACCCAGTCCCAGACTATGCACATACAGGAAACGATATTCAGTACAGGCAATAAATCCACCACGCGATCAGATAGTTAGAGCAGCTTATCATGGCTCCCATGGGTGCAGGTGGCTGAGGAATACATTATCCCATCTCTATCAGGCTCTACAGGAAACGGATATATCGGGAACGGAAAGAAATGAAAATGAAAAGTGGAGGGAAAAATATCAACGCACGGGGGCCCGTTGTTTGTAACGCAGCGGAAGTGGGGTAAATGGACAAACTAAGGTATGATTGATGACATCTCCAGTGCTGGTGTGGGCGAGAAGCCGGCTCAAGACGAGTAAGATAGAGAGGTTGAATAACTCGGGATAACAGCCGTTCGCATTGATTTGATTTTTAATTGCTCGAGTGCAGCTCCAGCCACTCGCACCTTTCAGCGACTTCCGATTTTTTTGTTCATGCTAGATATATTAATCTCCATATTATACTGTTCCCAGGGTTAGGGTTTCCTACCCACACAACCCATAAAATCAATTACAAAGAATATTGTAAGTATTTTGACTATTGAAAACAACACCGAAGAGCTTGAGTTCGGGTGTTGAGCAGAGGAAAGTGATATGGGTGCATCAAAACAAGGGGAGCCTTCGAGAATAATAGGTAGGAGTAGCTTATACCGTACGCTCATTGCACGACACCGGAGTAGCAGAATATATTTCTAACTTGCGTTTCCTGGAAAAACTGCGCAGAAAACGAACCTCCTTCATATGTAAGTTTCTTTGACACGAGTGCTATGTTCAAGAAAGTACAGCCTATCAAACAGCGAGCTTTTGTTGCGAATCCGGAAAAGCAGGGCAAAGCTGATGAAAGCAGAATATTCGCACAAAAGAGAATGGTTATACTTAGAAAGCTAGAATTGATCAAAATAAGAATGAGATGTAAAGGCGGGGGGACGGCGTGAGAGGACAAATATCTAGAGATTGATAAAAGACAGGGTAAACCATAGGGTGGAGACCACGGTGGACGTTTGACCAGTAGACCACGTTACTATTCTAAGGCACTGGTAAAATGAATTAGTGCCACATATACCGGTACCTTCTGTCTCTGCAGCTTTCATTGAAACCCCTATGGCTGGGATTGCCTTGAATATGGTGCTTGGGAAACTGCAGGGGGACTGGGGGATTAAAGGTAGTGGAACTGTCGGCGTTCTCAAATAATGTTGCTCGAGACTCAAATGATAGGGCAAGCGAGACTAAGTACTTGAAACGTGGTGCACCTCATCGATTGACACACACTGCTGTGCCAGAGGGCGATGAAATATATTGTCGTACGGGACAAATTGCCACAACGGCCATCAAGATTCATAAAACCTATATCTCCAAACATTAGATGCATAATCAGAAGACGAGGAGACATACAAAGTATGCCACGAGATATTTTAACCTTGCCTGATCTCCATTTTGCTCCTGGATCATGACATATCACTCCACACAGCTTGGGATCATGCTAGCCTGTGGGGGCTGGGTCGGTAGGGTGTTTCGGGGTAGAGAAAGGAGCATTTCCACAGGTCGATAAGTAACAAATCCCGAATGATTTGAGAGATGTGAATAGACTCTATCATCCATTGAAAATATCATGCTTAGAATCCGCTGGAACGAGGACAATCCACTATGACCACCACCCTCTTAGGCTTATCCATAGATTACTATTTAAACCTTATTTCTCGGAATGAAATCTGTCCTCGGATCTCAAGTTAATAGGGCTAAGTAAATATTTGATTACGTTGTGCCAATATAGCTTAGACATGAACCTTATTTCGCCGCTGCCAGATCATCAGTCTGGGCATAATTCTCGAGCATATAAACTCCCTTTTTTCTCTCTTATTTCTTTTCCTTTTCTCACCACCAAGCTCATCACCACTGCAGCTCCAAAAACCCCAGTTTTCAACGTCTCCAAAACTCATCAGTGTTTCGTACCAACATCTCAATATCTCGGAATGTCTACCACTCCTACCACCCCTTCCTCCACCAGGTCTTTTGCCTCCACTACCACCTCCTTGGGCACGATGTCTCCCGCCACTACGGATACCAGTGTATCCTCATCATCTACAAGTTCTCCTACTTCCGATGGCGCCAAGCCACTCTCTCCAAGCTCTCATGATCTCATTTTGTCACTCCTCCGCTCCGCCCAATCCGCGCAGGCTGTTGGAATCTCCACTGCCCTCGCCACTGCCAATTCTGCCCGCGCACGCCCCCGTGCCCGCGAGACCAGGAGACCCGTCCGCGACGAGATTGCCTACGGCTACCTTGATGACCCAGTAGTCCTCGCTGCCCGCGCGAGGGCAAGGGCCCAGGGAGCGAGAGACAAGATGGAATTCGAAGAGAACTTGTACAGAACGCTGGCAAGGCCAGCGTCAATGGAGACCCTTGGGACCTTGAAGGACGTGTTGAGGAGGAGTGGATTGCATGAAGAAGGAACTGAGGAGAAGGAAGATGAGAAGGTGCTCGGAATGTTGAATGATTTTTAGGAGAGTTAGAGGCTAGGCTCGGTAATTATGGTGGAATAATGAGGCGGAAAAGTTGTTGTTTAGGTGAAATTTAATTCTTTTTCTGGCTGTAAATTGTCATCTCTGTGCTGTGTTCCACCTGATTATGCATGTGAATTTGAGCACCCTATTGTCCTTGGAGTCCTCGCCAGTATGACCCAGTCCAGATATCAGATTGACGTTTGATCATAGCTCTTTTTTGCTCAGCGGCACTCAGAGGAAACTGGGCGATATCTGTGGTGGTTCTTCCAGCCGTATCCGCAGAGCCTCAACCACTGACTCAATCTAACATGTACTGCCCTTAATTCTGCGAACCTACTCGCCCTCTGATTGGCCAAGAGCGGAACCTAACCTGACCTCCGCATGGCAACGGCTCACCCAAAATAAAAAAAGTCCCCAAACGGCATATAACACCAACGGAATATAGAAAGGTAAGTACATGTATATAGAAGTCCTATAAACTAGACGATATATCACAAACTACGGCATATAATGGGAGAAGCATCCGAAAGTGAGGTTGACTCACTGAAGGGGGAGGGGAGGGGGGAGGTACGATTTGGGTGGCACCAAAAAAGAACAAGAAGTACTGTGCATTTCCGGGACGAAAGGGCACTACTCCCACCCCTGGGTCGAACCCTGGCCTTCTGTGATCGAAAGCAGGGCTAAACCTCGCGGTGTTCTTTGGCGAGGGTTAACCGTTAGACCACTCGCCCATGTGTGTTGGGGGCTAGAAATGATATTTGTGCGCCAAGGATGGTTGGCTAGCACTACATGTAGTTACAAGTAGTCTAATATGTACTGCCCTTAGTTTTTCTAACCTACTCGCCCTCTGATTGGTCCAGGGCGGAAACCATGGCCCTCCATCGCAACCAGCCCCACCACCCAAAATGCCCAGGCTTAAAAGGTATATCAAATCGGCGAGGGACTTTCTTTCCTTTACCTGTGTAGACTGAATTATAAAATTTAAAAATATACTGGGTGGTATTGAGAGATACTTCAAATAAGGTATTTGCACCGGAATCTTCAACCGGCGGGGGAGGAGGACCTGGGGGGTGGCGCGGTCGATGTGGAAGGCCCCGAAAGGCACAACTAATTGGAGTAAAAGGAACTCGCGCTCGCGAGATCGGCCACTGCTGGTTCTCATGTACCTAGCACCTGACGTTCTGGACACATCGTCAGGAGTGTACTCCCAACTGTGTCTACCATTTCACTCATCGACCTTCGTTTGCCGCGATCGTCTGGCCGCACCCCCCCCCCCCCCCCGCGGGGCGCCGGCGGCGCCTACTCCCGAGTACCCAAGTCCTGTAGGTCGTCGCTGGTGGCAGACATAATGGGAAATGAGCCGGCGACATTTTCGCACCGGTCACTGCTAACACTAGTTTATTAAAGTCTATCATACGTCTCTCTTAGGCACCTGTTCTGCAATGATTGACCTTTCTTCATCAACTCTCTCAGTTAGTCCTTATCGCCGTCGTAACCCGCCCCTAGAAATGCCCCCAAACAACTTAGCCTCCACTTATCATATCCTATGCTATCTACCATCCTAGCCAACATCTAATTCCAAGGGCGAAACAACTCTCCAGTGGCAACCTTAGTAGTGTCGTTGGCCACCCAGTGGTCACCGCTGTTGAGGAGAAGAGGTTAGGAGCCTCTCCATTGGTATTGGTATCCAAAGCCGGCACTGGCTCTTCCTGCCAATCTGGGAAGGACACCATTGCTCTTGACAGTAGGTCATCTCCATTCGACACCGTGGCCTTGTTAACTTGAAGTACATTTTCTTAAGAAGTTCTAAACGATAACTTCTTTCCATTTCCGGACACCGTTCCTCGTCAGCTCATTCATAGAACCTAACCACCTGGAATCGGGTATAGGATCATAGAATTTGCTCAATGTCGTCCTAGATATCTTAACCTCGGCGAATATCCCCTCTATGAACCTCCCGGGCCTGCCGCATCCAAAATGTCATTCAACATACCCGTCTTAAAACACGTCCTACGCTACGTACTCAATAATCTGCCCACAATACATCTAATGGCGGGACATTGAACACCTCACCCACCGATGATTTCTAGGAACTCTCGCTATAAACGCGGCATCAACCACTTCCCCCTACTGAAAAACCGACATCATCACTCGCAGCTTCAAAGTACATTGCAGTTGATACTTGTCGAGTGTAGTTCTCGGATGATCCTTCGTCCCACTTGACCTAGGTTAGGAGCCGCTCTAGGGCAAAAGGAGCATATCCAAAGGGAGATGCAGAAGGGGAACGGCGGCGGACATGAGATTTGTTTTTTACGGGGAAGTGTTACAGGAACTACGGAGCACTGTCCTAGAGGCGAAGGACAGTGAGGAATACGAGTGACGGGTTGTGATGCGAAGACGGTCGGGTAACGGAAGGACAAGCATAGAAAGGTATCGGGTGGTGTGGGGGCACGCGGTGTTACCACACTAGTACCATACTATTGTGACGGCACGTTTACTATTGGGTGTCTCACCCGGAATAGAATGGGAAGCGGGGCTTACGGCTGCAGGCTGTTCTACTTAGGGAAGTAGGTCTAGGACAATAGTATGGTGCGACCCGATGACTGGCAATTGCAAGGTTCATGGTTACGTGTCGGAATTAGAATGGAGGACGGAACTATGCGGGGGCGCTTTTCTATCTGGGTTATCTTCGGGAGCTTGACCTTATTCTATTTATCGTTGTATCAGTTAGTATTAGAAAGCGGGCCTTGGCATAGGTTCCCACATGTATAAATAGGGCAGGATTCTGCGAAGACTTGAGGGTATCATCAACCATCAAGTCAAGGGAATCCGGTTTACAATATCATCAGTTTAAACGCTACAGAATTATCGCTTAGCACTGGCCATTTCCCCAAACACTATATTGTACCTTATCCCTAACTTTTACTCTTTACCTATCGCATAAACCACCAAAAGTCTCGATAAGACAACTACTCGCTTAAACCAATACTCTGAGTATTTTGCTTAGTGGCGGATAGTCACCGTGCTCTCAGTAGAAGAATAAGCGCTTCGTCTATTAGAAAGACCAAGGTACTATATGCACCCCCGAGTAGCAACAGCAGCCATCAACAACTACCTTTGCGCTACATCCTTCATCGTACGAAGAGGAAGCGCCGAACATCTATACTGCGGATACCTCCATTATACAGGTTTCTTTACAGAAGCAGGGACCACCGCTACCTTCGAGGAACACGACCCCGAAATCCTCAACTATCCAGAACTCTTCCCAATCAAGATCACTCTCTCGCAGCGGTCTTTCGGACTTGCCCACCCAGCCCCCTGGTTCATTGCTCAACCTTGGTGCAGAAGACAACCACAGCTCAAACTCGAGCAGCTTAGCAATGTCAAGGGCTCATCAGCAACGGTCGGAGGAAGACTACAACATGGAGAGCTCAATCGCCTTGAGAGATCGAGGTATATTGGAAACCCAGGCCAAGAGGCGCCACAGGAAAGAGAGAGATGTGCCGATAGGCTCCCTCTTCGGATCGACGAGGCAGGAAGAATCATATGGGCAGGCGAGGAGGCGGCAGGTAGACCACCGGGAGTTCTCTCCATACGTCACCCCAATCAGAGAGAGATCCTCTACTCAGAGGCCCTCGGTACCTCGGGTAATGGACGACGACGAGGATACCAACATGGACGTAGAGGAACGGCGGGTGGAGAACCCCTTTGGCGATCTTATCGGGCAAGAAGTCCAGCGACAAGGGGCTCCAGTAGTGCAACAACTCAGCCGCGGGATCGAGGAACTCAGCATGCACGTACGAGATATTCCCATACTCAGGGAACTCACCCGTCAGCAGCAGGAGTACACCAACAAGATCGTAGAAGATCTCCACGCCAAATTCGCTGGGGACAGGGCCGAGCGAGACAATCAGCTCAACCAGGTCATGGCTCAGCTACGAGCGGAATCCACCGCCGCTACCAGCAATCTCGGTCAAGTGCTTGGGCAGATCGTCGAAGCAACTAGGGCACATCAGGAGAGGCAGGAACGGCAGGATCAGCACATAAACGCGCTGACCAACTTTGTCCAGCAACTCCCAAAAGACGGCCCAGTCCAGCTACCCGCGGAGGTCACGGCTGCCCTGGAACGGATGGAGCAGGACAGACAAGCCGCAATGGAAGACCAGTTCGCAGGTACGAAGAAAAACCTGGAAGAGATTATCGAGCAAATGCGGGTAGCAGCCAGTAGAACGGCAGCAGCCCCTGAAGGCTCAGGAGGCGGGGGTGTAGTACCCCCCCAACCTCCCAGAACCCCCCTAGTAATTCCGGAGAAAGACCGGAAGGATCAGGAAGCCAACCCCCCGTGCCCCCCCGCTCCGAGGCAAGGGGAAGTCAGCAAAGTGAGCAGGGAGGCAGGGGAGGCAATGGTAATAATGGCAATGGGGGAAACCGCGCAAGACCTCGAGACCCTTCCCCCTCCGACTCATCCAGCTCTTCCGATTCAGAGAACGATCGTCGATCACGCGAACGAAGGCAGAGAATACGGGAGGAGCGAAGGCGCCGTAACAGGCAGCAAGAGGTAGACCTCATGCACCCTCCTCGCGCCACCCTGGGTGATACGCCAAAACAGGCAAAAATCCCCTTCTCCGGAAAAGCCGACGAGGATGTGCGGCACTGGATTGACCAAATGGAAGTCTTAATTGAACTTCAGAGGAAGGTCCGGTGGGACGACCAGACCAAAATCCTGTGGGCATCCCTGGAACTTACCGGGAGTGCGGCAAAATTCTGGCGAAACTTCGTGGAACGACTATCGGTGGACCCCAGCATCGGGACATGGGAGAATTTTAAAAACGAACTACGGATTCAATATGGCAATCGGACCAGTCAAGAACAAGCCAAGCAGAAGATGGATAAGCTCCGTCAAACTGGCATGATCGATGACTACATCAACGAGATGCAGAATCTGGAATGGGACGCGAAGGTCGGACCCATCGTGATGAAATCCATGATCCTAACAGGAA